TGTGTGTGTTTGTGTGGCTGCTTGTACTAGTCCGGACTAATGCCGATTTATAGTGCTAGCCCACTGAGATACCATGACGCAGTTTAAAATGAATTCCCCACTCTGACACAGTATACTCCGAGCCGACCAGTCCTTGTTTTAGCCCCTTAATGCCGAACGCCAGACTGGGTAACAACAAGTACCATCTTTTAACGTCTTTTGGTATGACGCGGCCGGGTATCGAACCCCGGACCTTCCGCTCTCCGGGAGGACGCTTTATCACAAGATTCGAATGTCTATGCATTGATCCAGATTGGACTCTGACTATGGCTTCTCGGTTGTTACTGTGACGTCCGACCCGTGAAGACCCGGGGTAGATTAGGTCTTCAGCAACCCATGCTTGCCGTAAAAGGTGACTATGTTTGACGTAACGGGATCGTGTGGTCGGGATCGTGTGGTCAGGCTCGCTGACTCGGTTGATGCATGTCACCGTATCCCAATTACGTGGATCGATGCTCATGATGTCAATCACTGGATTGTTTGGTCCAGACTCGATTATTTACAGACCGCCGTCATATAGCTGGAATATTGCTGAGGGCGGCGTTAAACAACAAACAAACAAAACTGCAATTTCCAACTCTTGTCATGGTCTTGTGTGAGATACGGGTACTAGGACATGCATACAACTTTCGCGAACACCTGGTGTTATCATAGGCATATAATTCTGGCTTTCACAACCGACGGCACCCGTTTCGTTGGATAATCGAGACTGGTTATTGTCTGGCGTTGACGTTTTATGTTTATGTGATACGTTGAGAAAAGTGTAGATATTCTGGAGATGAGTTTGTCTTTGTACTACCAGCCCCCGCCACCTCTTTCTAAAACCATCTTGATTTGCACTTGGGCACATGTAGGACACTAACACAGCTGTGGTGATGTAAGCGATACAGAAATCACCACGGAGTGGTTTCAATCCTTACACTTTAAACACTACGATTCTTGGAAGCTTTTGTTATAACTTTGTCATGTGTCGAAAATGTTTTAACTGTCACGTGTCGTAAATATGTAATAACCGTGTATTGTGTCGAAAATGATCAAACTGCCATTGTCGTAAATGTTATAACTGTTTCATGTGTCGTAATTATGTTATAACCGTGTATTGTGTCGAAAATGTTAAAACTGACATGTGTTGTAAATATGTTACAGTGTCTTGTGTCGTAAATGTTATAACTATGCAGTGTGTTGTAATGTGTTATTACGGTGCCGTGTGCCGTTAATGCTATAACTACGCCAAGTGTCGTAAATGTTATAACTGTGACAAGTGTCGTAAATGTTATAACTATGACAAGTGTCGTAAATGTTATAATTATGACAAAGGTCGTAAATGTGATAACTATGACAACTGTCGTAAATGTTATAATTATGACAAATGTAAATGTGATAACTATGACAAGTGTCGTAAATGTTATAACTATGACAAGTGTCGTAAATGTGATAACTATGACAAGTGTTGTAAATGCGCAGTGTCGTACATGTTATAACGTCACACGTCATAATGTTATACTCATGGCATGTTACGTAAAAGTAACTGCAGTGTGTCGTAAACTCTTTTTCAACCATGCCATTAGTCGCCAATGTTATAACAGCCGTGTGTTGTAATATGTTATTACCGTGCCAAGTTTGTTGCAAATTTGATATAAATGTTCCAAGTATCGAAAATATGTAAATGTATTTTGGTGACATTTGATGACCATCAGTTTCACTGAGGATATTTATGAAACTAGGCATGAATCCCATCAGAAAAGAGCAAGTCTTAACTGTCCGCTAAGTACAAGAACACCCATGGCCGTGGTAAAGATAGTCAGTCAAGTATAGCTCGCGTTATAATGAGGATAACAAGTAGAAGGTTGACTAGTGGACAGATACCAGGCGACCTACCACCCGGGCCAGGTAGGGTATCCTTGATTACGATCACACATTACGTGTCACGCAAAATAGACAGTGGCACACGAACTCTCGAATAACGCAATTACAGTATCGGTGTGCGTTTTGAACTATCTTCGCTAATCTCTGTGTAACCCTCCACACTGGGGTAAGTAGGCTTAGTTTAGTTGGGGGGCCTTTTCCTTCTGATATGTTATTTGTTTTTGGCATTATTATTATTATTATTTATTTTTTATTTATTTTTTTTATTTTTTTTATTTAAATATTTTTTTATTAAATTTATTTTTTTATTTCTAGTCTAGACCTAAGGCTTATTAATTTGTTGGTTTAATAATTATCTTCTGGGAGGACAGTAACGTATTGGGGGACACATATCTAATGTTTTATGCACTCGGTTTACTTCAGAAGTAGCCCATTGACATCATGCCGTGTGGCGGCACAGATCGTGATGAGTGTTTTCCGCGCACGTTGCCAACACGGTCAAGGATCATCTTTCAAGAAGTGCACGTGAACTGTCTGAAAATATTCAAAGTTTTCTGCGTGATAATATTGGAAACAGATAATCGAACATGCGTGTTGAAAATTTGATCGACTATTGTTTCCAAAGTGACAATATTTATGTTTGTATCGGAGGTTACAATATATAGGTTTACTTCACCAAATCCGCCAAAACGTGTATTTGGGTATGAAACAGAAGTCCTGTGAAATAGAGGAGCGGCTCTTGTTAGGATGAATACCTGGGAGCTTTGATCATATGTTCAGTCGCGAGTAATCTGTCTGCGGTCATCTCAGTCCCACCCTATGAGTGAAAGGATGCCCGCCAGTAACATGACGTCTGTATCGCGAGGCTCGAACTGATCGAATCTGGACCAGCGAAGCCAGTGGATAGTGGCATCAGAAACTACCCAAGACTTCAGGCCGCCATGTCACTCCGTGTGTCAAGTCCAGGGTCTAAATCACTGAAGCAGCAGCCAGACTCACGTTCATCACGACTGTACCGATCAGCCACACAATGTCTCCATCATGACTGGCTATCAGACAGTGTCTCCATGACTATCAGACAGTGTCTCCATGACTATCAGACAGTGTCTCCATCATGATTGACTATCAGACAGTGTCTCCATGACTATCAGACAGTGTCTCCATGACTATCAGACAGTGTCTCCATGACTATCAGACAGTGTCTCCATCATGACTATCAGACAGTGTCTCCATGACTATCAGACAGTGTCTCCATGACTATCAGACAGTGTCTCCATCATGACTGACTATCAGACAGTGTCTCCATGACTATCAGACAGTGTCTCCATCATGATTGACTATCAGACAGTGTCTCCATGACTATCAGACAGTGTCTCCATCATGACTGACTATCAGACAGTGTCTCCATGACTATCAGACAGTGTCTCCATCATGACTGACTATCAGACAGTGTCTCCATGACTATCAGACAGTGTCTCCATGACTATCAGACAGTGTCTCCATCATGACTATCAGACAGTGTCTCCATGACTATCAGACAGTGTCTCCATCATGACTATCAGACAGTGTCTCCATGACTATCAGACAGTGCTCCATCATGACTGACTATCAGACAGTGTCTCCATGACTATCAGACAGTGTCTCCATGACTATCAGACAGTGTCTCCATCATGACTATCAGACAGTGTCTCCATGACTATCAGACAGTGTCTCCATCATGACTGACTATCAGACAGTGTCTCCATGACTATCAGACAGTGTCTCCATGACTATCAGACAGTGTCTCCATCATGACTGACTATCAGACAGTGTCTCCATGACTATCAGACAGTGTCTCCATCATGACTGACTATCAGACAGTGTCTCCATGACTATCAGACAGTGTCTCCATGACTATCAGACAGTGTCTCCATCATGACTGACTATCAGACAGTGTCTACATGACTATCAGACAGTGTCTCCATCATGACTGACTATCAGACAGTGTCTCCATCATGACTGTGACTATCAGACAGTGTCTCCATCATGACCGTGACTATCAGACAGTGTCTCCAAGACCATGACCATATGAAAATGTCTCCATGACCGTGACTATCAGACAGTGTCTCCTTGACTATCATACACTGTCTCCATTACATGACTATCAGACAGTGTCTCCATCATGACTATATGACAATGTCTCCATGACCATGACTATCAGACAGTGTCTCCATTACCCTGACTATCAGACAGTGTCTCCATCATGACTATATGACAATGTCTCCAAAACCATGACTATCAGACAGTGTCTCCATTACCGTGACTATCAGACAGTGTCTCCATTACCGTGACTATCAGACAGTGTCTCCATCATGACCATGACTATCAGACAGTGTCTCCATCATGACCATGACTATCAGACAGTGTCTCCATCATGACCATGACTATCAGACAGTGTCTCCATCATGACCGTGACTATATGACAATGTCTCCATCATGACCATGACTATCAGACAATGTCTCCATGACCGTGACTATCAGACAGTGTCTCCAAAACCGTGACTATCAGACAGTGTCTCCATCATGACCGTGACTATCAGACAGTGTCTCCATCATCACAGAGTCAGAAAGTGACTCACACAGCTACTTTATACAGGATGTCTGGGTAGAGCAGCTTACTGTTACACTTGTCTTTCTAAGATGACCCCAAAGATGCAGTATAACAAACCAGTGGCATCCTGTACACATACTGTATTTATTTTAACATGTTTTGAAAGGTTACATGCAGGATACACACATGGAAATATCCGAAAATGCTAGGCAATCCTTCAATGCCCAATCAATAACATGGAGATCATCCAGTAAGCAGCTGTCCAAGTGTTTTCTGTGATGTACTGATATCCAACAGTCTGGTCCATATAAGAGACAATCTCATTTAAATCAGATCTTAGTTTTCGCTACCGCTAAACAAAGATCTGAGGACATCCCAAAACGGGTCACGTCAGAATGACCTTTCGCAAACTTTGCCCGACCAATGAAATGACTGACAAAAAATCGACATTAGCCATTCAGAAGGCAGCTTTCTTGAGCTTTACGACACAAGTTTCAAACTGGCGACTACACTTCGAAATATTTTTTGACGTATTCTCGATTAAAAAAATTAAAACGGATAAAAAGAACATTCTGGAATGGCTTATAGATGGCCTAGATTGTATGGATATAATAAAAAAAACATAACTGTCGTTCGAGAATTTTCTAGGTTGCATGTTCAGAAAACACATTTCGTCCGTCACTTCCATGATCTGGTAAGCGACGCTCTGATTGGTTGGATGAAAGGTCGTTCTGACGTGACCCGTAATGGGATGTCGTCAGATCTTTGTTTAGCGATAGCGAGAACAAAGATCTGATTATAATGAGATTGTATAAGAGAGAGCGAGTAGGTTGAATGTTTGTTGTTAAACAGCAAAGACAGCAATATTCATACAAACAGGCTTCAATATTTTAACAGAATTCTGCAGACATGACATACAAACTGCAGTATTTCCACAGAATTCTGCAAACCTTACATACAATCAGGCCTCAGCATTTCCATGGAATTCTGCAGACCTGACATCCAAACAGGCCTTAGCATTTCATTGGAATTCTGCAGACCTGACATCCAGACAGGCCTCAGTATTTACGAAATTCTTCCTGATTATCCAAACTCTTGGGGCTAACTTACTAGAGCCCACATGTCATCCTGACCATGTCAGCAAGATATATTGTTACAGGCTTACAGCCCGAGGATTATCAGCTGCCTGTGCTCATCACATGAAGACATGCACACGACCGCTTGAGTTACCGCCAGCGACAATGTTCCTGGAGGGGTGGATGGCGTTCAAGGAACATACGGAACCAAGACAGGCGGGGTTGGTGAGAACCTGCACCTCTACACCATCATCGTTGTACAGCTCAATCTGCCAAAACATTCACAAATTGTTTCCTGAATTAATTTGATACAGAAAGAAAAACATTTTTGTATTGACAAACAAACATAAACATTTCTTCATCAAGCTACAACTGTAGCATTACAGCTACTTTTTGGGAGGCTATGAAATGGATAAGTGTGCAAACCAGTGGTTGATAGAATGAGAATATTTTTCAGTCCAAGGATTCACACTGATGCATTATGGGTGATGACCAAACGTCTTACAACCAGACTTGGTTGCCCGGGACCTTGCCTGCAATCAGTGAATACCGCCTAGCCCACATTCACCACAGGGTAAATCAAGTTTAGAGCGCCACCTAGCCCACATTCACTACAGGGTAAATCAAGTTTAGAGCGCCACCTAGCCTGGAATCGCCACAGGGTAAATCAAGTATAGAGTACCACCTAGCCCACATTCACTACAGGGTAAATCAAGTTTAGATCGCCACCTAGCCTCCAATCACTGCAGGGTAAATCAAGTATAGAGTACCACCTAGCCTGCAATCACTACAGGGTAAATCAAGTATAGAGTACCACCTAGCCTGCAATCACTACAGGGTAAATCTAGTATAGAGTACCACCTAGCCTGCAATCACCACAAGGTAAATCAAGTATAGAGCTCCACCTAGCCTGGAATCACTACAGGGTATATCAAGTGTAGAGTTCCACCTAGCCTGCAATCACCACAGGGTAAATCAAGTGTAGAGCACCACCTAGCCTGCAATCACCACAGGGTAAATCTAGTATAGAGTTCCACCTAGCCTGGAATCACCACAGGGTAAATCTAGTATAGAGTTCCACCTAGCCTGCAATCACCACAAGGTAAATCAAGTATAGAGTTCCACCTAGCCTGCAATCACCACAGGGTAAATCAAGTATAGAGCTCCACCTAGCCAGGAATCACCACAGGGTTAATCAAGTATAGAGTTCCACCTAGCCTGGAATCACTACAGGGTAAATCAAGTATAGAGTACCACCTAGCCTGGAATCACCACAAGGAAAATCAAGTATAGAGTTCCCCTATTCGTACCTGTCTGGGTCTCTTCATGCTGCCCACAACAAACAGATCTTCCCGAGCTGGATGCCAGGTGGCGCGGAACTTGGTCAGCCATCTTCCCACGTGGTTATCATGTCTGTCAACAACATTAGCAGCCTCAGAAATTTACTTGATCACATTTTTTAGATTTATGTCATGAAGAGTGCGTGTGTTTGTTTGTTATGGCCACACTCGGCAATAATCCATGAACAAGTCTTGACCGACAACCCACTGATGGATAGTACACCACGACAGCAGAGTTGGAGATTTTAACATTCTCAGGATAAGGACTAATAAGGCTGTAATGACCAGTCGACTCAGAAATCATTGGCTGAATAATACGTGAGTGATTGAGTGAGTTGGGTTTAACACCGCTTTTAACAGTATTCCAGTTATATCACAGCGTGTCAGCTTAATGTGGGAGGAAAGCCCGAAGTGATGCAGGTCTCAGACGTTTCACCAGTTTGGTGAAACCCACGAGCACGGGTATGGTGCTGACAAACCTAGAAACATAATTGGGGCGAACTGAGATTCGAACCCACAATCATAGGTTTCTGGCATGCCCGAGGGCGCAACTGTGCACAGCAAATCGCGGCGCCTTAGACGACTGGGCCACCCGTGCCCCCCTGAATATTACGACTGTTGAATGGAGAAATGTATGGTCAACTAGTTGACATTCTTTTGTTGCTTTGCATGTTATTTGATTAAATTGATGTTGGTTAATATTGACATGACTGTGCACCCTTGTAATGTAACAAGTTCTATTCATCAGCTTTTTCACGCATGCACGATCTACCAATCGGATCAATGACATGCATCAACCAAGTCAGCGAGCCTGACCACCCAATCCTGTTAGTCGCCTTTTACGACAAGCATAGTCACCTTTTACGGCAAGCATGGGTTGCTGAAGAGACAAAGTGTTAGTAGGCAACTGTCAACATTTGTATGGATAAGACTTGTACGGTGTGCAAAATAAAACAACTATACCAAACATGGATTCAAGTTTATATTGCAGCACATTCTTAGTTTCCTGTAAGCTGTAAAGTCACTTTACAAGTGACTTACTCACATATTGGCAGCCCGTTTCGTTTTGCAGACTGATAAAGATATATGACAACACAACTTGATGACGTATTTATAACATAACAATTTCAGAATTTGTTCGGAATACCTTGTGTTTACCCTTTCAAGGTTGCATTATAAGAAAAGACATTTTGACTGTCACTTTCGTGATCTGGTAAGCGACGCTCTGATTGGTCAAATCAAAGGTTTTCTGGCCTGTAATGAAATGTCCTTAAATCTTTGTTTAGCGGTGGAGAGAAATGTTTGATTGTAACATGTATAATGAGACTGGTTCATCTCCAACTTCAAATACTGACTAGTACCATCATGTCACGCTATGAATATTACTTACCGAATACTTCTCTTTAATGTCAGGTCACTTGTCAAGTCAGAGCTGTCAAATATGCTGAAAATAGAGCCAACCCCTTCAGAACATCTACATAATGCAAGATAAGCTTATTGTTGTCAGGAGAACATCATGTTCGTCTTTTAACACCATCATAAAACCAACCTGGATATTAAAAAAAATGTCTGTCTGTCTGTATGTATGTTTGTCATGTACATGTATATCTCATTACACCAAATAGTCTATGGTTAGTCCTGAAGATCAGAAACAAGGGGCATTATGATGAACCTTGCAAAATCAAATGTTCATGAAAAGACTACACCAATTAATTCCTTCTATTCTTTTTAAAATGCTTTCAATAACTTCCAATCACGGGTGGCCCAGTTGTCTAAGGCGCTGCAAATCTCTGTGCAGAGTTGTGTCCTTTCACACACCAGAAACCTAAGATTGTGGGTGCGAATTTTGAACCCACCAGCATGGATATGGTGCTGAATAACAAAGTAACATAATCAGGGCGAACAGGGGTTTAAACAAACAACCACGCCTGGTACGCCAAAGAGCCCCAACAAACTGTGGCGCTTCAGACCAATGGACCACTCATGCTCCCCATTTCCAGGAATAACTAAGAACTGTAATGAATGTAAATAGTGACATGTCTTAAATATTCAAAGTGTTACTGAGAAACAAGCATCTGCAACTATACGACTCAAAGTTTGCTGAGGATCAAGTTTTGATGATATAAAAAAATCTTCCAACAAATGCAGACTGAAATATCCTGGTATACAATGATTGGGTAACCCCTACAGGACCTCAATTTCATGATGCAGTCATGAGCACGATGTGCACGAGGTGCTGGAAAACCTGTGTTGTGATGTGTTGTGACAGACATGATGCACATCATTATTGGAGAGCGCAATGACATTTGCTTCTGAGGATTGCAAATACTGAGTGCACTTGTGCCTTCTCGTCTTCGGCTATTTCAACATGTGCACACAAAGTTGACATATAACAATTTGAAGTTGTGATCCTCAGCAAACTTTGAGTAGTATAGTAGGAATACATGGGGGTCTGGGGGTAATATTAAACAACACAAGCTCCACCTACTTGAGAGTGTTATCCGCGGAAGCTGACAGAATGTACTTCCCTGTGACAGGAGAGAAGTAAGCACTGTCAACAGACTTCCCGTGTCTTCTCTCGGCAATGGCAGTGTTACTCTTCTTCGACATCTTCCGCAAGTCCCACAGACGTACTGTCCTGAAGTGACACAGAGTGACATGTTAAAAGCCCTTGGTAACTGCAAGGTTACTAACAAAGAAGTGTCATCACAGAACTACACATCAGGTTACCATGGTTACAGAACAAACTTTGGTTTAAGCATCATTCTCGGACAAGCTGCACTAATACTTGTGATGGTATTAGCCTGACTTTCGTATTCCAGGGCGTGAAGGAGTGCATGCACATCGAAAGCCGAAATTTATAGAAATCTTACACAGAAATGTTGAAAGACTTACGTGTCGACTGATGCCGTAACAAAGTAGTTCTTCTGCACAGGATGAATGCTCACAGTCCGCAGGTACTTCACATGACACGGGTACAGGTGCTCTGCGCTCGTCCTGCACACAGACAGATGTTTCCATTATTAATTAATAAGATGTAGTTTATTTTTTTGTTTGATTTTTGTTTAACATCATGCAAATTTTCAGCTACATGACAGCGGCCTGTAAATAATCTAGACCAGGCAATACAGTGATTGATATTAAGATGACACACAATCCATCAAGTCACTTTGCCTGACCACCCTATCCACAGTGTTGCTTCTTAGACCAGCCAAGGTTGCTGGTGGCCTATTCCTGAACTCCTACGGCCTGACTACCTACTGAGGTGTCCGGACATCCACCACGGCAACGCAGCCATCAGTCTGGGACACCAGCATCACATGCTCTGAGGTGAAGTCAAAATTCCGCAGCAGTGTGTCTTCATCATCTGGACAAGAGTACACCTGCAACAGGAACAGTTCACTCTATGTCATCACATTTTGCACACACTGTTGCATCAAAATAAGAGTCATACATCTTTTTAATTATGGTTAGAATTGTGAGGTTTTACTTATCAGCTGAAATGCTTCGGATCAAAGGTATTCCACCAGTATAAGACATAAGAGCAATCATAAATTCTCAACAACAATATACGAAAAAGTTTCCCTGATACGAAGCGTATTGTATGCAAGACCACCAAGTCAAATGGCCTTTCGAAGAAACCTGAACACTGAAGTCGCCTCATGATCGGTTCGTGTATGGCTTTTGTTTGACAAAGACACTAGATATTCCAAGACAAACTCACCCAGGACACACCCACCCACCCCACCCAGGATGCACCCACCCAGGTAACACCCAACAAGGATGCACCCACCCATGACTCACCCAACAAGGATGCACCCACCCAGAATACACCCACCCAGGACACCACCCTCCCAGGACACACTCACCAAGGATGCACCCACCCAGGACACCACCCACCCAGGACACCACCCACCAAGGACGCACCCACCCAGGACACACCCAACAAGGACGCACCCACCCAGGACACCACCCACCCAGGACACCACCCACCCAGAATGCACCCACCCAGGACACCACCCACCCAGGACGCACCCACCCAGGACACACTCACTCAGGACACACCCACCCAGGACACACTCACCCAGGACATACCATGCATACAGGCTTTTTCCAAAGTAAAGTCTGAATACATACCTCATCAAAGATCCCCTTCTCAAAGTCCCCACACCTGAGACTGCCATCGTAGCTGCAAGAGTAGGTCTTGAGGGGGGCCCAGGGGGGAAGATGGAGGCAGTTGACGGGGCGGGCGTGGGGGCAGTATGCCACTACACCATCATGCTTATCTGAACTCATCTAGAAGAAAACAGAGTCATGGAGTCATGGAGTCATGGAGTCATCTGGAAGGAAACAGGGTCATGGTGTCATCTTGAAGAAAACAATCATGACTAATGGAGTCATCTGGAAGGAAACAGGGTCATGGAGTCATCTGGAAGGAAACAGGGTCATGGAGTCATCTTGAAGGAACCAGCGTCATGGAGTCATCTAGAAGAAAACAATCATGAGTCATAGAGTCATCTGGAAGGAGAAAGAGTCATGGAGTCATCTGGAAGAAAACAGGGTCATGAAGTCATCTTGAAGGAACCAGCGTCATGGCGTCATCTAGAAGAAAACAATCATGAGTCATAGAGTCATCTGGAAGGAGAAAGAGTCATGGAGTCATCTGGAAGAAAACAGGGTCATGGAGTCTGGCTGGTGGCGAACAGGTCTCGAACAGTGGTGCTTCCACTCTGTGGGGGCGACCTTGTCTGGCTGGGATAGTGCATCAGCCTGGATGTTTCTACAGCCGGAATGTGTTGGACCTCGAAATGGATCCCCAGATGATCCACCAGGTGAAAGAATCGGAACGCCTATTGAAGGAGCAGGCTGAGTCATTCCTTGGTTCCAAGGACACCAAAAGATGGTCATGTTGTCCATCGAGATGGAGAGCCGGGCGTTTCTGAGGGCCTGCCTCCAATGAGCAAGAGCCAGGATGAGCGCCTCCAGTTCTAGGTCGTTGATGTGCCACAGGCGCTGATCGGTGGACCACACCCCGAGGCAACCTGTCCCTCAAGGTGTGCGCCCCATCCCTGCAGGGAAGCGTCTATGAATAGGTGTAACAAGGTCGTAAGCCATGTCAAGGAGTCACTGCCTAAGACACTGGATTCCACCGTCCACCACCAGTTTGAAGCATTCTGGGAGGAGGATGGACACCAAGGGATCCTGATGCCTGAAGCCTTCCTCTGTATGTCAAGTTCTGTGCTTAGGTTAGGAGGCCCAGGAGAACTTGCCACTGACGTAGCATGCGTTGCTGGTGGAGGGCTGCGATTGTATGTGCTCCTTCCGGTCCCTGGGTACAGAGAGGAGGTCGAGGTGCGTCTGGAAGAGGCCCCAAACTGAATGTCCCGGAGATGGAGGTACGAGCCTATCGGCCTGGTAAGCCTTGTGAATAGCCACGGGGCCGAGGAAATTCCAAATGGGAGGACTGCCCATGGGTCATGGACTCCCATGAAGATGAAGCAAAGGATTTTCTGGTCGTCGGGATGTATAGGGACATGTAGGTAGGCGTCCTCGATATCCAGACTGATAAGCACATCGTGTGCCAGGATCCAGGATCGCAGCAGCCTGAGCGTGATCATCGTGCGTATCATCCTGTGTCTGTCCGAGTCCTTCTTGGGGACAAGGAAGATGGGTGAGTAGAAGCCCGGTGTTAAGGCTGGGGTGTGTACAACCTCTATGGCCTTTTTGGCCAGCAGTGACAAGATGTTCTGGCATAGTAGCTGCTGTTGAGTAGGGGGTAGATGTCCACTATGGGGGACGATGTGAGAGGCAGGTTGTCTATAAGCGTCAGCTTGTACCCCTGCCGGATGATGTTGGTGACGTATGGCTCCCCCAGGATCTCCTAATTTTTCTAGAATCGACCCAGTCTCCCATCTACTGGAGGGTCAACTACTTGGACGGCTGGGGGACCTGGAGAGAGTGGATCAGATAATCGCTTTGTTTGAAGCCTGCATATTCCGAGGCAAGGGTGTTAACTGACTATAAAAGTCCAGTTTCCACCCTTGCCGAACTAGGCTGGTATTATGGAGTTACATTTTGGCTGGACTAACGAGTTTATGCATAGTCTGATCAAAATCACGCCCCGAAATTAAAATATGGTTCGTAAACTGTCATGCAGATTTCGGTCGATTGGAGGATTTGCAAAGCATGTGCACCACTAACAAGTTGTCAACAGATATTTTCTAAATCTTTTCATGTTTTTAATCAAGGTGCTCTGATTTGATGCACTTCGTGATGTAAGACTTGTTTTATCACAATATATAGATCTTGATTATCGATCAGATCGTCTTGACTGTTTTGTTTGAAGCAAATGCAGGTGATACGAGAGGTGTAATCTGATTGGTCCATCGGAGAGGCATAGATGGGACATAACTCGTAAAAGCTTCTGGTGGCGCTACAATCGAACCCAGGAATGCCAGCCTAGTTCGGCAAGGGTGGAAACTGGACTTTAAAGTCAGTTAACTTGCCTAGGGAAGATTGAAGCCTGGAGCTCTAAAGGACGAAGTTAGTGAGAGCTTGCTAGTTGCTACAGTCCTCGTCCAGGGCCGAGATCATGTCCTTGATCAAAGGGATCCGCTGGGAGCGAGGTAGGGTCCAATCTAGTGGCGGCCTTGCTATCGACCTCTAGGCCAGGAGAAGGAGTGACTGCCTCAAGTCTGTCTGCCAACAAGTCTAGTACCTGGTCTAACCCAAGGTGGGACTTGCCATCAGTAGGAATGTCATCATAGCATGGGGTGAAGTCCGAGTGGTATCCACTCTAGCGTCTATGGACAGGAAAGTGGCTCCTGGATCGGTGAGTCCAGCGAGACAAGCGGCTGTCACTCTAACAAGGGGGAAACTGGACTAGCACAAGAGGACGAAGCAAAGTCCAAGGAGTAACGGGATCAACAACCAGTAGAAGAGAAGGCATCTGTATAGGCATACGACGAGGCGCCGGAGGAGAGACGCCTCCATCATAGGTGACTGGGACTTGGCGGGGGCGCCTGTTGGACACCACAGACCAAGGGTATCTGTCTGGTGTAGTGGATAGGCGCCATCTGGTAGGAGAGCGCCACGCCATGCATCATGTTTGTTGCCGCCGTCATAATGATAGACGTGGTGGTGGTGGTCGTCAGGGTAGGGACTGAGACCGAGGGGGTCGACATGATGGCAACAGTTGAGGCTGGGGAGTTTCTGTCCGAGGTAGCCGAGTAAGCAGCCCTCTTAGTAGGCAAAGTCTCAGAAGTATCAGACATTTTTCGCGACAGTTTCCTTGTCTGCTGCGATCTCCGCTTTTGGGACACACGGATGTATTGGCTGAAAGCTGTGGAGGAAAGTGGGAGACAGTCTTTACATCAAGAAGCCTGGCGGCATGGAGATGTACAATATTAAGGCACAAAGGCTGGGGATCCCACGCCGACTTGTTAGGCCAGCACTTAGAAGGATACTTGCGGTATCAGGCTAGAAGAATATAGCATGGAGCCAGTTCATAATTGTGTGGCTACGTAAAATATTCAAGATGGCTACTTGAAACAACAAGACACATGGGATTACCATTGTTTTCGACCGCCTCTGTGGTCTAATGGTAAAGCGTCCGCCTGGATCCCCGGCCGCGTCATACCAAAAGACGTTAAAAGATGGTACTTGTTGTTACCCTGTCTGGCGCTCGGCATTAAGGGGCTAAAAACAAGGACTGGTCGGCTCGGAGTCAGTATACTGTGTCTGAGTGGGGTATTCATGTTAAACTGCGGCATGGTACCTCAGTGAGCTAGCACTATAAATCGGCATCAGTCCAGACTAGTACAAGCAGCCACACACATACACACACACACACACATACATGTGCATGCATGTCGCTATATAAGTGCAATAATCTTGGACGCGACGTTAAACCCCTTTTCACCTCACCTCACCTCACTTAAGAAAATGCCAGCAGGAGTAAAAAAATGCACGTGTTAAAACCATAGAATGTACAAAGATACAAATCGCATGTTCAACACAAGCACTATGAACATTAACTCAAGAAGCAAAACATGTGAGGGTTTGAACAAGTCTATGCAACAGATTAAAAACAGGTCTTCACTCAGCAAGTGACAAGAGTAATGTGAGGATCCGTGACTTCACCGCCCCTGGCCATGTGGGAGCTGTGTGATAGGGTTGGCCTCTCAGCTAGTTGGAACAACTTCTTCAAGCAAAGATCTTCACACAGCTCTTTTCTCTGTCAAGAACAAGCAGTAATATGCATTAAGGAGTAATGCAGGAAAGGTAAAAAATAATTCAAATGCAAAAATTGTTGCCAAACTCACCACATCCCAGAATCCCACTCTTCCCCACTTGTCGCCAACAGCAACCAGCACCTTGTCCTTGGATGGGTGTATCGCAATCGAGAAGATTCGGTCTTTCACAACCTTTGCAACTCTGTCCTCAGTCAGACGAATCTTGGAGAAATCTTTCAGGAAACTATAAAGATAAAAATGAGTGTGTTACTCAATTTCATTAAAATCAGATCTAAGTTCTCGCTGCCGCTTAACAAAGATCTGTGGACATCCCATTACAGGTCACATCAGAATGACCTTTCGTGAACTTTGACGGACCACTGAAATGACTGACAAGAAGTCAACATAGTCCAGAGCTTTACGGCACTCGTTTCAACCTGGCGACCTTTTCAGACTAGGCTTGAAAAATATGTTGACAGAGTTCTCGATTAAAATTTTGTAAACTGAACAAACGAACATTCCGGAATGTCTAATATATGGTTGAGATTGTATGGCAGTGCTTACCACGTTCTGTGCAATGCCTCCTCGATTCAAATGTTTATCCTACAGAAGCGAGAGATAGACGATAATTTTGACAGAATCAGTCGTACGGGCCGTAACTGTCGTTCAGAATACCCCATGTAAACATGGTTAACGTTTTCGAGGTTGCATGATTAGAAAACACATTCCAACTGTCACTTTCATGATCTGGTAAGCGGCGTTTTGATTGGACGGAGGAAAGGTCGTTCAGAGGTGACCCGTAAAGGGATGTCCTCAGATCTTTGTTTAGCGATAGCAAGAACTAAGATCTGATTTTAATGAGATTGCTTAATATTTGGACATCCTACAATCCTTGTTGCTCCCTCTCTAATCAATCTCATTAAAAGCAGATCTTAGTTAATCGATAAGATCTCAGAACATCACATTACGGGTCATGTCAGAACGACCTTTGACTGACCAATGGAATGACTGACAAGAAGTCGACATTAGCCAATCAAAAGGCACCTTTCTTGTTCTTTACGGCACTAGCGAGTAATGTTCGAAACACATTTAGACAAATTCTTGATAACAAATTTGAAAACTGATCAAAAGAAAATTCTGATAAGGCTAATAAAAGGCCTATATCGTATGGATACAGTCGATAAGTCTGTACCTGTTGTTCAGAATAAATTTTTCAAGGTTGCATGATTAGAAAACAAATTACGACTGTCACTTTCCTGATTTGGTTGACGCTCTGATTGGAAGGATGAAAGGTTGTTCTAACGTGACCCGTAATGGGTTGATCTTTGTTTAGCGAGAGCGAAAACTAAAATCTGATTTTAATGAGATTGCTTAATATTTGGACATCCTACAATCCTTGTTGCTCCCTCTCTAATCAATCTCATTAAAAGCAGATCTTAGTTAATCGATAAGATCTCAGAACATCACATTACGGGTCATGTCAGAACGACCTTTGACTGACCAATGGAATGACTGACAAGAAGTCGACATTAGCCAATCAAAAGGCACCTTTCTTGTTCTTTACGGCACTAGCGAGTAATGTTCGAAACACATTTAGACAAATTCTTGATAACAAATTTGAAAACTGATCAAAGGAAAATTCTGATAAGGCCAATAAAAGGCCTATATCGTATGGATAGTCGATAAGTCTGTACCTGTTGTTCAGAATAAATTTTTCAAGGTTGCATGATTAGAAAACAAATTACGACTGTCACTTTCCTGATTTGGTTGACACTCTGATTGGAAGGATGAAAGGTTGTTCTAACGTGACCCGTAATGGGTTGATCTTTGTTTAGCGAGAGCGAAAACTAAAATCTGATTTTAATGGGATTGCTCTCTGATACCAGGGTAAATGAGAGTGAGTGAGTGAGTGAGTGAGTATGGTTTTACCCCGCTTTTAGCAATATTCCAGCAATATCACGGCGGGGGACACCAGAAATGGGCTTCACACATTGTACCCATGTCGGGAATCGAACCCGGGTCTTCGGCGTGACGAGCGAACGCTTTAACCACTAGGCTACCCGACTGCCCCTTCAGGGTAAATGAATAAATACTGTTTCAAGCTGCAGTCAGCAGAATTCACAAGGCCACAGTGGGCTATAGATAATCAAATCTGGGCAAGCAAACCATTGGTTGACAGCATGAGCAACGACCCAGGTCATTGACTACAACAACACATTCAGCCAGGTCATCTTAACGACTAAATATTCAAATTAACCATCCCTAATAACTTGAGGACCCATGAAGATCCGTTGTAGAATAGCTCTTCAGCTACCCATGCTTGGCGTAAGAGATCCACGCAATTGGGATATGATGACATACGAGCCTGACAACTTGATACTGACCATATTGCATATTATACGCACCATTCTGATTCAGACACATTTAGTGTAACAAGACGGATGTTCCGATTGAACATTTTAGTCAGGCATCGGTTACCTCCCTTTATCGGCTTGTTGACCAGTCACTTGTACGCGAGACGGTTCGCGCAGTTTCGAAGAAAGTAAACATGTTTCAACGCGATGGAAAATGGGTGTGCGTTGGTGTGCATGAAATAATTCATATATTTTGTAACTCTACGATGAATAAGCTTTTAAAAAATACGACATGTTAGTTTCTGAAAAATATGTACATAGGAGAAAATCGCTGTCAAAAACAGAACATTTTGCTCGATTTTTGCAATTTTTTCTCCCAATTTGACCGTTTATTATTTTTCTTATGACATTTTTTCATGTCATTCGATAACTGGTATAATGATGAATAACTGTACTTAATTTTGTTTTATTATATTCACAAATAACACTTGGAGAGACATTTTTGTGCAACATGCAGAAATCCATGGTCCACCCCTCTCAGGTGGTCACTTGTACGCGAGATGGGAGAGCCAGCTCACGTACACGATACGTCCTCTACTGTTGACAGTCGGATATTTTACCCCGTGTTTTACTTCACGTGTCACATTCTGGACCAGACAACCGTCATTAAACCACCAACAATTACATGATAGTTTGTTAAAGAATTTTTTTCTACACTTCACGACAGTGTCTGATTTGGTTGGTTGGTTGGTTTGTTTAACGCCGCACTCAGCAACATTCCAGCTGTATGACGGCGGTCTGTAAATAATCGAGTCTGGACCAGACAATCCAGTGATTAAAATCAGGAGCATCGATCCATGCAATTGGGATCGATGACATGCATCAACCAAGTCAGCGAGCCTGACCACCCGATACCGTTAGTCGCCTTTTACGACAAGCAGTCACCTTTTACGGCAAGCATGGGTTGCTGAAGACCTATTCTACCCCGGAATCTTCATGGGTCCGACAGTGTCTGAAATTATGCTGATGAGTTGGTGTGAACTAATAAATAACTTTCATGCCATTTAAGAAGTATTGTTGCTTTCGAATTTATATCTATTTTGTATTTCATCGGTACGATTTTGCAAAACAGACTGTCGTTGACTTTCATTTTTAAATTTGATCACTGGTAAATGAATAAATACATCATATTCTGTATCCAACATACCCTTCCAGGTCTCTTGAGATAGGCTTAATGGCCGTGGTCTTGCTGCAAGATGTCATTACAGATGCAGAGAAGTCCTTGTGAGCATCCTCCTCCAGTTGTTCATACAGGCTCTCCACCATCCCTAGGGGCCCAGGAGGAGGGCGGGGCTGGACACGGGGAAGAATGTCAAGTAAACAGGAGTCATAAACAAAACAACGAAAGTTAGAGAGAGAGAGAAAGAGAGAGAGAGAGAGAGAGAGAGAGAGAGAGAGAGAGAGAGAGAGAGAGAGAGAGAAAGTGAAAGAGAGAAAGAGAGAAAAAAAGTGAGAGAGAAAGTGAGAGAGAGAAAGTGAGAGAGAAAGAGAGTAAAAAGTGAGAGAGAGAGAGAGAGAGAGAGAGAGAGAGAGAGAGAGAGAGAGAGAGAGAGAGAGAGAGAGACCTACTTAGCTTGGACCCTGCTAATCCAGACACCCTACATTCTGGACAATCACATAACAGGGGTGTCACTCCTTGCCTATGCTTAGCAAAGTTTTACTGTATACAGTGATGTCTTGTATGTGAGTATTGTCACTGTGTCAGGACCACACAAAAAGATACTTTAAATACTCTTAAGAACCCCTAAAAGCATCAAACATGAATTTGTTTTATTTTCAACATATCCAAACCTCTATATTCTTGAGATGAATTGTGACTGAAAGGGCATCAATTCATCTCTGTGCAAAACAGAATAATTAAGGTAGGTCCTAATGTTGTGAAGGATTTGGCCACTGACAGGAATTGTTGCTCAGAAGTCTCTGAATCAACCGCTTTAATTTTCACTCTAAATTCTCAAGGCTGTTAACTGAATGAGGCAAGTTATACGCCTCTTTTACAATCTTTACCAAAATTTGAACAACCTTTTAGTTTATCTATTTGGTATCTTCCCGAGGCAAGAGAGTTAACTGACTATGAAAGTCCAGTTTCCACCCTTGCCGAACTAGGCTGGAATTCCTGGGCTCGACCGTAGCGCCACCAGTGGTTATTCGTAGTTATATTCCTTCTAAGCCTCTGCTATGGACCAATCAGATTCCACCTCTCGAATCACTTGCATTTGTTACAAACAAAATGGTGGCGCCCAGTCAAAACGATCTGATTGATAATCAAGATCTATATCGTGATAAAACGGATCTTACATAGCGAAGTGCATCAAATCACATGAGCACCTTGATTAAAAACATGAAAAGACTTGGAAAATATCTGTTGACAACGAGTTGGCGGTGCACATGCTTTGCAAATCCTGCAATCGACAGAAATCTGCACGACATTTTACAAACCGGATTTTGATTTCGGTGCGCGATTTTGATTGGACTATGCATAGACTAGTTAGCCCAGCCAAAATGTAACTCCATAATACCAGCCTAGTTTGGCAAGGGTGGAAACTGGACTTTTATAGTCAGTTAACTCACTTGCCTCGGGAAGATGCTATTTCGGGACAAGAACCTAGATTTTCAGAGTGATGGGTCAACGCTTGTACTGCTAGGCTACTCCACCCTGAACAGTGTAAAGCTTACATGTTCCTCTACTCGATCCATGAGTTCCGTCGGCACATAGATTGGTTTCGGCGGTCCCACATTCTGTATACGCAGACTCCGTCGCTGTGGTAGGACTTCACGGGGCTTGACCACCCTGCAACAAACAATCAACTGTACCATGTTGCCTTGTCACAGAGTGAGTGAGTGATATATGTCAGCAAAATTCAGTGAGTGAATGAGTGAGTTAAAATTTAATGTAACATCGGCAGTATTTCAGCCATATCGTGACGAGAAGTAATACATTCAGAGTACATATATTAAGATTGTCGATGGACAGTAAAATAACTAGAATATCACATTAATATTTAAAACTAGCATACAACCATAAAAAGATATCACTATATATAACAATACATAATATAAAAGGCTGCAGATCACCAGCAGCTGAAGGTAGATCGCCATGCTAGGGTCCATAGGGACTTCCAGTAACTTTGCTACCTGCATGGACCCCAGCCGGATTTACATAATCTCTTCAGGTTTTGGCAGTTATTGTCAAAGTTGGCCAAAGTTAAATGAACACATATTCTTCGATTAAAAATGTGGCAGAAAAAAAAACTACTTTGAATGACCTGGTCTTAAATACCCTCTCGGGGGGACAATCCATTATGATTAGACTATGCATAGTCTCGTTAGTTCAGCCAAACTATAACTCCATTATTGCAGCCAGGTTGGGCAAAGGTGGAAAGTGGACTCATACAGTCAGTTAACTCCCTTGCCTCGGGGAGATCTTTCATACAAGGATATCCCCATGTATGGTTAGCATAAAGTCTCAATAACACTATAACATTCCGTCAAAACCGACCCTATTTCTAATTAAACTTAGATACTTAAATGTATGTTAAGAAGTACTGTTTGCCAATTTGTGGTTTTGGCCTAGACAACAGTGGACTATAATTGCCCTGATTTCTGTGGGTTGTGGCATAATAAAAGAAGATGGCCGCTTGACCACATTTTCTGTCTTGCCATTGCCAGGTAAGTAAAATTACCTTAGCCAATCAGAATGCAAGAAATTCGGGCTGGGATGGGTAACTCGGGTACTTGGGTAGGGTGGGTACTGAGTAGGACCCGGGTACCCACAGGAATACCCGGAAACGTGGTTAGTCACGAGATATATTGTTTAATGACAAAAAATTATCAAAAACTCTATGGTTACACTACAAGTCACTAATGTTCCAGTTTCTTTCTGACAATGCACCCAGTCCTTCTGACTTTTATATGATTGAAAAAAGATAAAAATTCATCATGTTCATGCAGTAAACTTCAGTGTATGCATGACCAAATCATTTTACACGTGTATCTAAATACATTTTGCCAGGGCTACAGTCAAACTTTTCCCAATTGGACAGTTTGTACCTATCTCTTGAGACCTACAGCAGGTACCCGGGTAGGGTCGAGTAATATGGCGGTGGGTACCCTCTGGCTTTGAATGTTGAGGCTAATTTTTTCAAGAAGAATTTTGAATGTTGCCTGTTCATTCTTAGATAGTTGACATGCTGGAATCCTCTGTATTGAACCCATGGAGAAGAGTATTGTTGGCACTAAGTTGGTGCCTCCTCTGGAACCAATCCAGCAACAATATATTCCTTTGCCTACCCCCACGCCGTCTTCTCAACATGACAATCCCCCCAAAATACATAACAGCAGCATAACAGCATATACATAACAGCAGCACCAAAACTTTGATTGCCCGTCAAAAACTTTGATGAGTGTAAACAGCCCAGTTTTGACCAAGAAGTTTTCTTTGACTAAGTATTCTATCCAACTTATTGATAGTGTGACGAGAGCGAGAGACTCAGAGTAAGTGAGTGAGTTGGGTTTAACGCCGCTTTTAACAGAATTCCAGTTATATCACGGCATGTCAGCTTAATGTGGGAGGAAAACCCTAAGTGATGCAGGTCTCAGACGTTTACCACTTCGGTGAAACCCACGAGCACAGGTATGCTGGTGACAAACCCAGAAACATAATCAGGACGAACGGGGATTCGAACCCACAACCATGGGTTTCTGGCATGCCCTAGGGAGGCAACTCTGCACGGCAAATCGCGGCACCTCAGACAACTGAGTCACTCGTGCCCCCTGGAAAGGCTCAGAGACCCCTGCACTTAGAAAGTGTTACGTCAATATTTGAGAGGTTTGTACACACCACATTCCCCCATCCCCCATGAATATAGCAGTGTTGCTTTTACCCAACGAATCAGTCTGTGCCAGGCAAGCCAGTTGTTGGTTCACATTGGGCATGGTGACCTACAATCAGCTAGTAACCACATGATCTCACCTTTTCACCGATAATCCTTTCTTTGGTTTCCGTACCAGTTCATGCAACTGGTGTTTGGCCTGGCAAAGACAAAACAATCAGGACAAGCCTCAAACAGTTTTCTTGGTGGCCATGAGAGTGTGATGTTTCTACTGCCAATACACTGGAGAGGCAGGTGAGGAACTTCATTGGAATTATATATTTCTTTGAAACTATGAAGCATTTACCAAATATAATAATTATCAAATTAATATCCTTGACCACAGACTGTATTCAACATAACCAACCTCCTGTATTCAACATAACCCACCTCCTGTATTCAATATAACCCACCTCCTGTATTCAACATAACCCACCTCCTGTATTCAACATAACAAACCTCCTGTATTCAACATAACCCACTGCCTGTATTCAACATAACCCACCTCCTGTATTCAACATAACCCACCTCCTGTATTCAATATAACCCACCTCCTGTATTCAACATAACCCACCTCCTGTATTCAACATAACCAACCTCCTGTATTCAACATAACCCACTGCCTGTATTCAACATAACCCACCTCCTGTATTCAACATAACCCACCTCCTGTATTCAATATAACCCACCTCCTGTATTCAACATAACCCACCTCCTGTATTCAACATAACTCACCACCTGCTGTATTCAACATAACTCACCACCTGTATTCAACATAACCCACCACCTGTATTCAACATAACCCACCTCCTGTATTCAACATACCCTACCTCCTGTATTCAACATAACTCACCACCTGTATTCAACATAACCCACCTCCTGTATTCAACATAACTCCCCACCTGTATTCAACATAACCCACCTCCTGTATTCAATATAACCCACCTCCTGTATTCAACATAACCCACCTCCTGTATTCAAAATAACCCACCTCCTGTATTCAACATAACCCACCTCCTGTATTCAATATAACCCACCTCCTGTATTCAACATAACCAACCACTGTATTCAATATAACCCATCTCCTGTATTCAACATAACCCACCTCCTGTATTCAAAATAACCCACCTCCTCTATTCAACATAACCCATCTCCTGTATTCAATATAACCCACCTCTTGTATTCAACATAACCCACCTCCTGTATTCAATATAACTCACCTCCTGTATTCAACATAACCCACCTCCTGTATTCAACATAACCCACCTCCTGTATTCCCAGCTGTGTCAAGAAAGCTGCATTGGCCCTGATGTTTTCCTGGCGCATCTTCTCATACGCCACGGCATCTTCGATCTGAAACAATGTCCAGGTGATATACTATACCCGGGTCATGGATTTTCCAGACGCAAAAACATGCATCCTATATGCATTAAATTTGAATAAGGCACATAAAAGTACCGTAGTTTCTTGAGTATAGTGCGCACCCAAGCATAATGCACACACTCTCATGGAACTCACGGTCAAAGTATCTTCACTCAGCCAGAGAAAGGAACTCACAGCCAGTGTATCCTCACACATCTAAGGGAGGGAACTCAAGGCCAGTGTATCCTCACACATCTAGGGGAGGAACTCAAGGCCAGTGTATCCTCACACATCTAAGGGAGGGAACTCAAGGCCAGTGTATCCTCACACATCAAAAGGAGGGAACTCAAAGTCAGTGTATCCTCAGACAGCTGAGGTTGGGAACTCACAGCTAATTTATCCTCTCACAGCTAAGGGAGAAAACTCAAAGCCAGTGTATCCTCACACATCTAAGGGAGGCATCTCATGGCTAGTGTATTCCCACACAGCTAAAAGAGGGAACTCTACTCTATACTGAAAGTACACAATTAATAGAACTGTTTTCCAGATAGTGTGGATGTTCCTCACAGAGTGAATATTAGATCAACCCAACAAACACATGGATGATATTATGAGGTACATCCCATGATGTCAGGTAACAGTCAACCAAGTCACCGAGCCTGACCAACACAGGTTATCAGGGATTCATTCCATCCAGGCAAAGCCATGGGACGCTGGTGACTTACTTCAGCATCCGTGTCAGACTCCGTAGATTCAGACTTGATCGGCCTCTGTTTGATTGTTTTCAAGGGTGACGGCATCTTCTGTGGCGACGGCTGCCTGGTAGGCGACGTGTCGGTAGTCACGGTTCGCTTCCTTCCACGGACGGCCGTTGTCTTCTCATCTGCTACATCTTTCCTCAAGTCAGGCTCCAGCTAAACATTTCAAAAGTTAACAAGAGCATTCGAAAACAGCTCACTCTGGGAGGAAAGCCTGAAGTGATGCAGGTCTCAGACAATTATCACTTTGGTGAAACCAACGAGCGAGTGAGTGAGCGAGTTGGGCTCAACGATGATTTGAACAACATTCCAGTTACATCACGGCGTGTCAGCTCACTGTGGGAGGAAAGCCCGAAGTGATGCAGGTCTCAGACGATTATCACTTTGGTGAAACCTTCGAGCAAGGGAATGGTGTTGACAAACCAAGAAACATAATCAGGGCGAACCAGGATTCTAACCCGAGATCATAGGTTTCTGCTGTGCCCAAGGGACGCAACTCTGCCCAGCAAATAGCGGCGCCTCAGAAAACTGGGCCACCCCGCCCCCAGCTAAACGTTTCAAAATTCAATAAGAATATTCAACAAAATCAAAGAATAAAAATTTGACATTAACAACTCTTCAATTCACCATGAAGCACTAGAGTACCCATATTACCATGCAAGTGCCTATTGTTTTATGACAGATACAGCAACATTTAGCCATCATAGCATGCATTAGTTGTACTCTCCGTTGTTGAACTGATTTTCTTCAATCACTAAGTCTTATTTCATACAAGGAAAACCAAATACATAATTTATATTATTATTATTTTATTAGACTAGACCAGAGTACTCGTGGAAGCCTTATTTTACTAATCAGAGTTTGTAGCTGGCTCTGCTTGAATGAGGCAAATTAAGTCTTTGATAGGCACTTAGAAGTTGGGAGAAATCGAACACAGGTGAATGTATAGTGCACCCTATGAACTCACTAAGCATTCACCTGCTGAACGAGCAGGAAGTAGCTAAAAAATAATGACAAAGAATGGGGTTTAACGTCGCGTCCAAGGTCATTGCACTTATATAGCGACGTGCATGTACATGTGTGTGTTTGTGTGGCTGCTTGTACTAGTCCGGACTGATGCCGATTTATATTGCTAGCTCACTGAGATACCTTGCCGCAGTTTAACATGAATACCCTACTCAGACACAGTATACTGACTCCGAGCCGACCAGTCTTTGTTTTAGCCCCTTTATGCTGAGTGCCAGACAGGGTAACAACAAGTACCATCTTTTAACATCTTTTGGCATGACACGGCCGGGGATCGAACCCCGGACCTTCCGCTCTCTGGGCAGACGCTCTACCACTAGACCATGGAGGTGGTCTAGATGTATTGTTCCACTCTTAATTTGCAGCAATATAAAGCAACGAGAACTGTTGAAAATTACAGCCCTGATATGCTACCAGTCTGAGGACTACTATCATATATTTACTTGTCCTTAGCACAATTTAGCAGTCCTGGGCTTGTGTAAATTTCAAAAGCAGTTACCATACACTTTATTTCTAATTGTTGCTGATACAGTGGTCTTTATATTCATGTTTGGGGCCCCCGATGGCATCACTGAGTCCTCAGTACTCACAAACAGAAAGGGTGTCGGGTAGCCTGGTGGTAAAAGTGTTCACTTGTTGCATCGAAGACCTGGGTTTGGGTCCCCAAATGGGTACAATGTGTAAAGCATATTTCTGGAGTTCCCCGCTGTGATATTGCTGAAATATTGCTAAAAGCGAAGAAAAACCAGACTCTCTCACAGTGAACCCATCTAACTCCCTGATATGATGTGTGGGTTCTGTTCCTTTGTGCCACATCCCAACATGCCCAAGGGGTCCATGGCAATACCTGTGTATTGAGGACATGATTGCTTACCTCTTTGAGCAGCCTGTTGGACCTGGATCTTCGTCCTACAGCTGGATCCACTTTGAGAACATCCTTGTTCTCCTTTGTATCCACTTTCTAAAGGAGCAAAACATAATATTCCTAATATATTTGAAACACAATCAAATTAGCATTTCGGTTTATCGTAAACCCTGTGATTTGTTTGTTTGTTGCACACCACCACCTACAGCAACACTCCAACAACAGGATAGCAGTCTATAAATAATCAATTCTGGACCAGACAAACCAGTGATTGACATCATGAGCATCGATCTACGCAGTTGGGATAGGGTGACATGCAATAAACCAATTCATCAAGTCTGACTACCTGATCCATTAAGTTGCCTCTTATGATGAGCGTATGTTCCTGTGGACTTACATTAATAACCTTAGTATCACAAAATCCCTAAGAGAAATTGTTTTGATAAGAGTGTGTATATCTTATTTTAAAAATATTGGTTTTCGTCTGTTGGCAGATGACCAATTGAATGAATGAATAAAATGATCAGGTCCAGATGCAAAACACCAGGTTTCAAGGCGTACACAAATTTCAGAGCCACACTCAGACTACTGGGTGTTTAGAGGTTTATTTGACATGCGGGAAAAGAACGGTAACTCTTCCTCAAAGGGACATAATTCTTTATTGGCACCTTTTCCTTGAGATTTCAGTGATGTCTTCATATTACAAGGTATGTTATTATCACACTAAAATCACTTGTAATCACAAGGCAAGGGAGGTAATCCATGGTGTATTTTCAAAATGGCGGCAATATGACTAGTGCTAGAAAACTTTCAGACACATTTTCTCTGTTAAATGCAACAAACTTCAATGGAATGTCTTTTAGATTCATCTCTTATGATATTTCTTGCATTAAAACTTCTCCCAAAGTTTGAATATGGCAGCCGGTGGTGACCTGATTCACTGGCGATGTAATGATTTGATTGGTTCATCTGGATCCTCTGATGAGTGAGTCTAATTGAAAACAAAACTTTCGATATTTTGCAGATATAATCATCATGCAGATATACATGATGATTATGTTGCAAGCCTATAGCAAATCGATATGACAAACACCCTGTAATTTGAGTATGGCACTGAAATTTATGTACACCTTCAACACTGTTTAAATCTGGTGTTTCGTCCAGACCTGATGATACCAGAAATTTTAACAGTATCAAAATGTGTAAGTTGTAATATTGAAGTGGTTTGAATGATTCTGTGGCACTTGCAGTGTAACCATGGTAACTGGTACAGTTAGTCAACGCTTAAGTCCTATTTCTGTAACATAATGGGAAAGACTATAATATGTATCCCCCCTCCAAAAGTTATATACTGTATTCGACGTAATAAGCGCCCCGCTCTAATAAGCGCCCACGGCGATATTTGCTTATATATTGGCTGGTGAACGATCCCAATTAGCACCCCTTCTGATTGATCAATGTACACAAGACTTATTTATTCGCGTATAATACGCACTCGTGTGTTATATGCACCCTTAATTATGGGCAATTAAGTTCTGGGAAAATATATGTCGTACATAAACATTTCAGGCTGTCACCATAAACCACAAAATTTATCTTTTTTCACCAAAATAATATTCTAATAAGAGCCCCCATTTCAAATTTTATTACGTGGAATACGGTATGTATGCACTGCCGCTCAATCCTTTTAATCATATATATTTTTGAGGGAGGACACGGGTGGACGTCTCACCACATGAAGCAGAGGTTCACAAAATTCAGTGTTCGTGGTAGTACAGGAAGCTTTTATTTCCGTATATTTTTCAAATAACACGAACAAAACGGCAATAACCATGGCAACAGATGATCCAAGTATGAACTTTAGATCAACTAAAATAGTCATCGTAACAGTGTAATGAACCATGGTAACATTGGTAACAACCCATTTGTCAAGTCAGCGTTAGAAATTGGCACTAGTCCTATAGTCCTTGCCAAACTGCCCAATGGTAAAGGTATCATAAGGACTAGTAGAAATTTGTCCTTTTTAAGGGTTTTGCTGTATGTTATCATTATAAGGACTAGTGGATGAAAACTGTTAGTTTCTAACCCTGCGTCTTTGAAATGACACATTTTGTAGGCCTCAAAGTTTAAATTTTCACCAAGTAGCCGTATGGCTACAAGTATTTTTTTCCAGGTAGCCAGTGGTAAAATCAAGAAGTCAAGCCAATATTGTAGATAGCCAAAAGCATTTGAAATGATCTTTTATCAAATAACTATTATATTAGAACTAGTGTTGGAATTGTATATCAGTGGAAACTGTACTTGATTTTTGTTATTTGAGACTCAAAACAATGATGCAATTTATGTTACTTGATTATTTAGGTATACTTTGCTTATCCAATAAGCACCATCAACTGAAATAAAATACTAGTTACATTAATATTTATGTTTTTCTGTTCATTGTCGACTATAGGAAGTATTATGTACGCGAGTACAATTATTAGCAGACATGTTTTCCACAATCAACTGTTATTTCTTTTTCTGTATTCAAGTGTGAAGCAATAGAATTTAGTTGCCACAAGATATTTTTCAAGGTAGTCATTTGGCTAGCTCTGAATTTTAGAAGTAGACTAATTGAAATTTAGGTCGAATTGGGGACCATTTTAGTCGCAACTTTGAGGCCTGTTTTGTTACCTTTAATAGATTATCTCTTAACATGATTAATCAATATTTTTCAACAGTGAAAATCTACATCAGCGTAGGTGAGGTGAAATGGGGTTTAAGTCGTGTCCAAGATTATTGCACTTATATAGCGACGTGCATATATGTGTGTGTGTTTGTGTGGCTGCTTGTACTAATCCGGACTGATGCCAATTTATAGTGCTAGCTCACTGAGATACCATGCCACAGTTTAACATGAATATCCCACTCAGACACAGTATACTGACTCCGAGCCGACCAGTCCTTGTTTCAGCCCTTTAATGCCGAGCGCCAGACAGGGTAACAACAAGTACCATCTTTTAACGTCTTTTGGTATGACACGGCCGAGGATCGAACCCCGGACCTTCCGCTCTCCGGGCGGACGCTCTACAACTAGACCACGGAGACGGTCATCAGCGTAGGAAATTGGCACTAGTCCTATAGTCCTTGCCAAACTGCCCAATGGTAAAGGTATCATTATAAGAACTAGTAGAAATGTGCCCTTTCAAAGGGTTTTGCTATATGTTATCATTATGAGGACTAGTGGACGAAAACTGTTAGTTTCTAACCCTGTACATTACACTGAAATGACAACTAGCTGATTCAAACATGATCCTGTGATATTGGTAATGTGCTTTGAAGAGTTTGAAACTGACTGTCTCTGGACTTTTTGTATATTGCTCACCAAAACAGGAAATGTTTTGGGGGACGACTTGGCCACCTGTCGACACATTTCCAACTCTCAAACTGCTTCGACATGATCAATTATATTGTTTTATTCTATATACTTACCGTGCGAGTTGAACGTCTTCTGGACGAGACTGGCATTTTGCTAATATGTAAGCAATTCGGACTCAGGTGAAAATATACCCTTCACTTCGGCAGATAACTCCCGCGAAAACTTTATGTAATGTTGTCATGTGCGCCCCAACTCTGGATTGGAAATAATTTGAGTACCCCGTCTGTAAACAGAACAACAGCGCAAAGGTTCTGAGTAACCTACTTGAAAAACCAGTGACTATTCGGGTCGACGCGACTAATAATTTGGTAGATATCGCTGTCAGATGGTATGGAATTCATTAGGAACATTGTTTAATTACGAGACGATATGTAAACAGGAATAAGATAATATATCAAAATTAATTTTAATCATACGAATTTTCTTTCAGGGGACATAATCACGTGTGGCCGTGTTCGAGAAAACAGAAAATGAAGCGCCGTACAATCCCCATACATCTGTAAAATCCTATATTCGGTTCCTGTATCGGTTTGAAGCCGATTTAAATCTGATCTTTAATTATATACTTCACAGATACTTCACTGCAGTGAACATAACACACTGACGGAACTATTCTCATACAAGAGCTGTGTCACTTTAGATGACACCCCCGACCCCCTTCCTGAATCTGACATCACCAATAATAAATTACCTCTCCTAAAGATCGTCGTGTTTTGTAAATCCCTTAGTTTCCAAAACATTAAAAAATGAAAGGAACGATTTTTTTCTTGCCGCTGTAAACTAAATATGGTAACAAACTCATTTGTGAGTCTTAATATCACCGTGAAGATCCGGGGTAGAATAGGCCTCAGCAACCCATGCTTGCTGTAAAAGGCGACTATGCTTGTCGTAAGAGGCGACCAACGGGATCGGGTGGTCAGGCTCGCTGACTTGGTTGATGCATGTCATCGATCCCAATGTGCGTGGATCGATGCCCATATGATATCAATCACTGTATTGTCTGGTCCGGACTCGATTATTCACAGACCGCCGTCATATAGCTGGAAAATTGCGGAGTGCGGCGTTAAACAACAAACCAACCAACAACCAATGTTTATGTACAGTAATGTAGGAAGCAGTCACACCCATGAATTTTGTCCAAGCTCCTCACAGCGATAGTGGATAGTCCGATTGCGGAGCGATGTTACCGAGAGTGTAACGAAGGTGTCACGCGCTGGGAAGGAGTTTGAATTTTGCCAACACAGGGGAAATAACTCTCATTTACTAGTTATGACGTCTGCTTCAGAGATATGGGGGCAAAAGGAAAACATCTGTCTCTTTACCAGAAACAACTTATCATAAATTTGAAATCTGAAGGTAAAATTGGTTGTGAAATTAGTAAAATTCCTGGGATAAACAGGTTATCAGGGAAAAGAAGAAAATCAACACATAGAGACACACGGTCATTGTTGAAACTTTACAGGATATTTGCTGACTATTTGACCAGTCGCCACAAGTGACACTATCAAAGACGACAATACAAAGGCGTTTACGTGAAAATGGTTACCGTAGACGGTCAAAAGAAAACAACCATGTCCCTCAAAATTGGAGGGCCTTTCCCTGGACACTGGACTGTCAAACAACATTGGTCCAAAGTTGTATTTTCGGATGACACTCAGGTTGTTGTAGGTAAAAATCAGAAAGTTTATGTTTGGAGAACTGATGAAGAAAATTAGAAGGCGAGATGTCTTGGAGTGTACACAGACAAACACGCTCCCGTCAAGTTTTGGGGCTGCATTTGTTTTGGAGGTGTTGGTACCTTTGTAGCAGTGGAGGGTCAAATAAACTATACAAAGTATATAGATATATTAGAAACCAACTTATTGCCAAAATTCCAGCTGACAGGATACATTTTTCAAGGGGATAATTGCCCTGTACAAGTTCCTTGACAGACAACCCAGTGGAAATATGACAAAGATATTCAGACTATGCTTCTCCAGACTGTAATATCAGAGAAAATGTGTGGCTGCAGAGTCAGTTAAGTGAAATCAAAACCAAACAGGACTTCACTTACCAGGTTATGGACATCTGGACTTCATTGACTCATTGAATGGAACATGTACTTTTGGCAAATGGCAGCATTACAAAATACTAAAAATTTCAGGTAAGTAGTAAACTTCATTTTCGTGTAATTTAGGTTTTGTTCCCCTGAGCATGCAATCAATTCAGTTTGTACGACAGCCATTTTGTGAACATTTTGCATCTGAGTGCACATGAGTGCTATATACCTTAAGCACAGGACCATGTAACTAATAATAGTAACACAAAAAACTCGCCGATGAGGCCAAAGGCCGAGCCTCGTCTATGATTCTTTTTGCGAGTTTTTTTAATTGTTATTTTAGTTACATGGTCCTGTGCCTCAAGTTCGGATTGTGAAGGGGTGCCAAAGACCCCGGATTTATTCCCCACATTGGTACAATGTGTGAAGCCCATTTCTGGTGTCCCCTGCCATGATATTGCTGGAATATTGCTAAAAGCGGCATAAAATGTCATATTCACTCACTCACTAATGCTTTTAATGACTAATCACCATTGTACTACAAATGTGGTGCCTGAGGACCTATTCTCCCCTACAAGCCATTATAACCTACAATGTCCTTGGTAGATATCTGGTCCTTAAATGGTATTCAGAAGTGAAACACAAGGAAAATTTATGGATGTAAACTTTATTAGGAGGAACACAACGTTTCAGAGTGTATACAAACTCCTTCATCAGGTGAATAATATCTAGTTGTCATCTCATTTCACACACATCTTGACCGCCTCTGTGGTCTAGTGGACAGTGCATCTGCCTCAAGAGCGGGCGGTCTGTAGTTTGATCCCCAGTGGCCTCATACCAAAAGATGTTAATGATGGTACTTACCCTGACTGACATTTGGCATTAAAGGGATAAAACAAGGCGGAGTTAGAAATTGGCACTAGTCCTGTAGTCCTTACCAAACTGCCAAATAGTAAAGGTATCATAAGGACTAGTAGAAATTGGCCCATTTTAAGGGTTTTGCTATATGTTATCATTATAAGGACTAGTGGACAAAAACTGTTAGTTTCTAACCCTGCAAGGAATGGTCGCCTGGAAGTCTGAGTGGGGTATCCATGTCAACTGTTGTGGCATGGATCTCAATGGGCTAACACTATAAAACTGGCATACATCTGGACTGGTACAAGCAGCTACACACACAGGTGCATGCACACCCTGATATAAATGCAATAATCTTGAACATGACTCAAACCCAATTTCTACCACAACCACTTCACACTTGTCTTTCTAAGATGACCCCAAAGATACAGTACAACAAACCAGTGGCATCCTGTACACATATAATATTTATTTTAACATGTTTTGATAGGTTACATGCAGGATACAAACATAGGAATATCAGAAAATATTTGGAAATCTTTCAATGGCCATTGAATACCATGGAGATCATCAAGTAAGCATCTGTTCAGGCTTTTCTTGTGATATACTGATGACATCCAAGAATTTCATAAGATTTGTTTGTTTGTTGTTAAACGCTAGACTCAGCAATATTTTAACGCTAGACTCAGCAATATTCCAGGTACATGATGGCGGTCTTCAAATATTGAGTCTGAACCAGACAATCCTATGACTGACATCATGAGCATTGGTCTACACAATTAGGATACGATGACATGCATCAACTAAGTCAGCAAGCCTGACTACCCATCTTGATAGTCACCTCTTATAACAAGAATAGGTTGCTAAAGACCACCCTCATAAGAGTGATTGCAAGTATGTGGAATGTAAGAATTAATCCACCTATATCACAAGGACCAGTAAATGATCAAGTCTGGACCAAACAAACCAGTGACTGAAAGCACATCCACACCATGCAAACAGCCATGTTTTCAGATCCTTCTTACTCAACTTGAATGAGTTTGGTTTAAAGCCGCTTTGAACAGTAATTCAGTTAAATCAGGGCATGTCAGATTGATGTGGGAGGAAAGCATAGTGAACGGGTATGGTGCTGACAAACATAAGGCAAAGACATAAGTCTGGCAAACCAGGATTTGAACCCATGATCACAGGTTTTTGGCACACTGAGGATATCTACAGCGCCAAACTGTTCTAAGCAAATAACCTGACTACAAATGTCATGGATCTCAGTATTTCCATGCAATTCTGCAAACCTGATACAAATAGGCCTTAGTACTTCTACAGAATTCTACAGACCTCATATATAAACAGGCCTACAGACATGACATACGAAGAGGCCTATTTTTTATCTGTTTGTTGATGTTTTATTTGTCAGACCTTGAATTGTGTAACACTACTTCCTGATACTTGACTCCAGATCATTAAACATGTTTTAGTTGGGACTCCAGTCATTCTTGTTGATGATGGAACACACTCTTCGACATGTCTGGCATGAAATTTCCACATACTGGGTACAGCAGAAGACTCCAAATATTCCTTTGGTCAACTGAAGATTTGTAGTTTAGGTAACAAAACTGGATTCTTGCAGGCGAACATTCAAGGGCCGGCATCTAGTCGGATGAGATGTCGGCAAGATGTATAGTTACAACCCCAGGATTATTGACAACTTGTGCTCATCACATGAAGACATGCACACGACCGCCTGAGTTACCGCCGGCAACAATGTTCCTGGAGGGGTGGATGGCGTTCAGGGAACACATGGAACAAAGATAGTCGGGGTTGGTGAGAACCTGCACCTCTACACCATCATCGTTGAACAACTGAATCTGCAATAACAAATTGTATCCATTGTATTTTTCTGCCAAAACATATTAAAATGATTTCATAAAGTAATGAGATTAAGAACAAAAAAACATTTTAGTATTAGGAAACATAGGTGATAAGAGAGAGAGTGAAAGTTGTTTTATCCATCAGCATTTCAGCTAATGGCAGACTATGAACATAAATGGATGTGTAGCAGACAAACCAGTGGTTGATATAATGAGCACTCTCAAGTTCAAAGATTCATACTGATGCAAATACTTCTGGGTGAAGACCACGCCTCACACAGGGTAAATCAAGTGTAGAGTGCCACCTAGCCTGCAATCACTACAGGGTAAATCAAGTATAGAGAGCCACCTAGTCTGCAATCACTACAGGGTAAATCAAGTGTAGAGTGCCACCTAGCCTGGAATCACTACAGGGTAAATCAAGTGTAGAGTGCCACCAAGTCTGCAATCACCACAGGGTAAATCAAGTATAGAGATCCACCTAGCCTGGAATCACTACAGGGTAAATCAAGTGTAGAGTGCCACCTAGCCTGCAATCACTACAGGGTAAATCAAGTATAGAGTGCCACCTAGCCTGGAATCACTACAGGGTAAATCAAGTGTAGAGTGCCACCAAGTCTGCAATCACCACAGGGTAAATCAAGTGTGGAGAGCCACCTAGCCTGCAATCACCACAGGGTAAATCAAGTATAGAGTTCCACCACTTGTACCTGGTTTGGTTTCTTCCTGCTGGCCACGACAAATAGATCTTCTCGAGCCGGGTGCCAGGTGGCGCGGAAATTGGTCAGGCCTCTTCCCAAGTGCTGTTCATATCTGTCAACAACATCCGGACATGACAAGAGGTTGCATCAAATGTGATGACTTAAAATGTATTTCCTGTTTTGCTGGGCATTGTTTTATATACAGAGATTATGATTACCGTGTGAAAATAGCAATTGCATGAACACACATTTTCTCCCACATCTACCAATGATTCAGTAACAAAATATCAGCAAAATCTAAATATTGTTTACATTTGTATACTTATCCTGCATTACTCTTTAATGCATTCACTGTTTACCTTACGACATGTGACGGTTTGGGGGCAGGTAAAAAACTTTAGTTGTCCAAAACCTCAATAATTCACACTCAAGAAAAGACATATTTGTCAATAATCCGTGAGGCTGAGAAAGCACAGAGAAAAACGCCATAACAGTAGGGTTATTTATCTTATTTACAGATGGAACGCCCTGTACACACATGGTAATAAAGGATGGTAGTGAAAGCTAAAATCTTTACCTACTGTGTCACCGAGCCAAAGCTTGATAAGAAAGCTTGTCTTCATTTCTTCCCCTGAGAATGTCTCATACGACCTACGCATGAAGTAGACTAGCTCCTTATAGGGTGAGTTCATTATTTGTGTCGTGAGTTGGTTGCCTGCTGGGCTACTACCAGAGGGCCAAAACTGTGCACGCCTTCAACGTCTTCGAGAGCCACATCACAATTTTGAAATGGGTCACTTCTAAACCTGCTATGAGGTTTTACGTTTCATTTGTAAAACCTACTTTTTACAGTTAACGTTTTATAAAGTTGCCTCTTGATGTGAACACAGTTGTGTTTGATGATTGGTTAAAAGTAAAAAAAAATTCCATGACGTGAATCAAACCTTCAAACTCACATGTCGAGTTAAGTTTTGCAACTTCCCGAGGCAAGGGAGTAAAGTGACTTTGAAAGTCCAGTTTCCACCCTTGCCGAACTAGGCTGGAATTCCTGGGCTCGATCGTAGTGCCACCAGTGGCTATTACGAGTTATGTCCCTTCTATGCCTCTTCTATGGACCAATCAGATTCCACCTCTCGTATCACATGCATTTGCTTCCAACAAAACGGCGGCGCCTAGACGATCTGATCGATAATCAAGATCTATATATTGTCTTACATCGCGAAGTGCATCAAATCTTGTGAGCATCTTGATTAAAAACATGAAAAGATTTGGAAAATATCTGTTGACAACGAGTTAGCGGTGCACATGCTTAGCAAATCCTGCCATTGACCGAAATCTGCAAAACAGTTTACGAACCGGATTTCAATTTCGGAGCACGATTTTGATTGGACTATGCATAGACTCATTAGTCCAGCCAATATGTAACTCCATAATACCAGCCTAAACTGGACGTTTATAGTCAGTTAACTCACTTGCCTCGGGAAGATGTAAGTTTTGTAACCCACTGTTTTCCCATTGAGCTACCAGGGCAGGTGGTGAGAAGTTGTTCAGTTTATCATGTCATGACTCCAGCTAGTCCATGCTGCAAATGGTTTTTCTCTTGCACGCTTTTGAGCCAATTCCTTTTATACCGGGATGCAGTGTATTGTTTCACTGTCAAGTATGTTGACATTTTCTTATTTCTTTCAGGGGTATTTCCTGCATTTAGATAAAACACGTCTCCTCAGTTTGGGTTTAATGTGTAAAAATCTTGAGCTCGGAAAAAGCCCTCAGGCTTTTCCCTCGGTCGCGGTTTTACATTTTCCACCAAAACCTCGGAGACGTGTTTTATCCTACACATCACAAGCAAGATTGTCGTGATCAGTAGATGGATCTGATCACCATAATAAGAAGCAGTATTATAAATTAAGAGTACTTTGGCTACAGTTCCTAGCCCAAACATATTTGTTGTCATCAATTTTGTGTTAGCCATGTTAGCAGAGCTTAAGATTTTACTTATCCCAGGAATCAGATTTATGGCATAGGCGAACATATTGTTCAATTTTTAACTTAAAGTTAATGACAAGACACCTTGAATTTCATCTCCAACTCAAATGCTTATTAGTGATAACATAACATGCCATGAATTATACTTACGCTACACGTTTCTTTAAAGGTAGGCGACCTGTCATCTCAGAGCTGTCCAATATTCTGAAAATAGAGATTTCAACTTCAGAACGTCTGCATAATGTTTGTCCTATAACACAGACACATAATGTTTGCCCTATAACACAGACACATAATGTTTGCCCTATAACAGACACATAATGTTTGCCCTATAACACAGACACACAATGTTTGCCCTATAACACAGACACATAATGTTTGCCCTATAACACAGACACATAATGTTTGTCCTATAACACAGACACATAATGTTTGCCCTATAACACAGACACATAATGTTTGTCCTATAACACAGACACATAATGTTTGCCCTATAACACAGACACATAATGTTTGTCCTATAACACGGACACATAATGTTTGCCCTATAACACAGACACATAATGTTTGTCCTATAACACAGACACATAATGTTTGCCCTATAACACAGACACACAATGTTTGCCCTATAACACAGACACATAATGTTTGCCCTATAACACAGACACATAATGTTTGCCCTATAACAGACACATAATGTTTGCCCTATAACACAGACACACAATGTTTGCCCTATAACACAGACACATAATGTTTGCCCTATGACACAGACACATAATGTTTGCCCTATAACACAGACACATAATGTTTGTCCTATAACACAGACACATAATGTTTGCCCTATAACAGACACATAATGTTTGCCCTATAACACAGACACATAATGTTTGTCCTATAACACAGACACATAATGTTTGCCCTATAACACAGACACATAATGTTTGCCCTATAACACAGACACATAATGTTTGTCCTATAACACAGACACATAATGTTTGCCCTATAACAGACACATAATGTTTGCCCTAAAAAACAGACACATAATGTTTGTCCTATAACACAGACACATAATGTTTGCCCTAAACACAGACACATAATGTTTGTCCTATAACACAGACATATAATGTTTGCCCTATAACACAGACACATAATGTTTGCCCTAAACACAGACACATAATGTTTGTCCTATAACACAGACACATAATGTTTGTCCTATAACACAGATACATAATGTTTTTCCTATAACATGAAACCAATCAGGGTATCAAAAAGAACAAGACAAAGTCATGTTTCCCACCTTTTGAAAAAGTATATAAAATCACAAAAAGTACTCTAAATCTGGAAACATTCTGCAAAAACTGCATGTGATACACAATCACAATAGTTTCATGATGCGGTAGTTTTTGCAAATTCTTCATATGTATTGTATGTTGAAACTTTAAGGTTAAAAAAAACTTACAAGACAGGTTGGATAGAGGGGTTGGAAGACTACTGGCCGACAGGCAGCTATTTCAAATGCTGATTGAAAGTACTAATTATCTTATCCTATCTCACACTGTGCATTTCTCATTTCCCCGACGGAACACCAAAGATTGGTGATATGAATACAACAGAACAATACAACAGTACAATACAACCATGTGCCCTTGATAAGTTTATCGCTTATTTTCTACTTTGACTACAGCAACTTCCGTTAATACTAGTGGAGTGTCTTATTAGGCAGATGCAATAATATAAATACACTTTATGCCAAACAATAAACAAGACAAGTTTGTATAAGACTAAATAATTACCATCTCTTTTCTGGTGTCTATGAAAATTTAGTCCTTGTCATTTTTCATAGATTGGCATATTCGTATGAATTGATGGGAAAAAAGTAACGTTTTCGTATTCATGTTGCAAATGCGCAATGAAACTTTTGAGACCATAGGCAGTCGTGTGCAATGGTGTCGTGGGGAGTGTCTGAATCAACCCAGGCTTCACCTACTTGAGAATGTTATTCGCAGATGTTGACAGAATGTATTTCCCTGTGATAGGAGAGAAGTAAGCACTGTTGACGCGCTTGCTGTATTTTCTCTCAGCAATAGCTCTCTTCTTTGGCATCTTCCGCAAGTCCCACAGACGTACTGTCCTGAAGTGACACAGAGTGATATGCCAGTAGCATAAACTAGGGCTGAAACGATATCCCGGGACACTGATGCATCGCGATTCACTCAAAACGATACGGTGCACAATTTGTAAGGTGTTGTATCTCGATTTTTCAAGATACATTCTTTTAAATAAACTTTGATGACAGATAAGTTTTCAATGTTGGTTGGTTGGTTGTTTAACGCCGCACTCAGCAATATTCCAGCTAAATGACGGCGGTCTGTTAATAATCGAGTCTGGATCAGACAATCCAGCGATTAATATCATGAGCATCGATCCACGCAATTGGGATCAATTACATGCATCAACCAAGTCAGCGAGCCTGACCACCCGATCCCGTTAGTCATAGTTACCTTTTACAGCAAGCATGGGTTGCTGAAGACCTATTCTACCCCGGAATCTTCACGGGGCACGTTTTCAATGTGTTTTAAATGAATTTCATATTCGAACCGAGTCGAAAAACGTAAGGACAATATGATTTTCGCTACAACCATGTAAGTCTTCGAAAATATAGCGGCTATGCTAGCTTTGTATATATCAGAAATAGTTCAAGCTTTCTAATTGGCTGAGCGGTCTCTAACTCAAACATGTTGGAAGAAGCAGACGCTCTTCCTTTGCTAGAGAAACCAACGGGGACTTACTGTGAAAATGGCAAGTTACTTGTGCTTATCTAGTCCATGTGGGACTGTTACTTTTACGTGTCGACTGATGCCTAGACCAGCAAGACTTACGCGTCAACTGATGCCTAGACCAGCAAGACTTACGGGTCAACTGATGCCTAGACCAGCAAGACATACGCGTCAAATGATGCCTAGACCAGCAAGACTTACGCCTCAAATGATGCCTAGACCAGCAAGACTTACATGTCAACTGATGCCTAGACCAGCAAGACTTACGCGTCAAATGATGCATAAACCAGCAAGACTTACGCGTCAAATGATGCCTAGACCAGCAAGACTTACATGTCAACTGATGCCTAGACCAGCAAGACTTACATGTCAATTGATGCCTAGACCAGAAAGACTTACTTGTCAACTGATGCATAGACCAGCAAGACTTACTCGTCAAATGATGCCGTTACAAAGTAGTGTTTCTGCACTGGATGAATGCTCACAGTCCGCAGGGACCTCTCGTGACACGGGTACAGGTGCCCCGCGCTTGTCCTGCACACAGACAGATATTTCCAGTATAAAATAATAAATGACAGGAATGTATTTTTGTTTAACTCCAAACCTAACAAATTTCTAGCTATATGACAGCGATCTGTATAAAGTAATCAAGTCTGAAACAGACAATCCAGTGATTGACATTATGAGCACAGATGAATGCTATCCACTGGGGTACAATATCACGCAATAATTTAAACACAGATTTTGACTATCTGATAACCCTGAATGACCGCCTCAATGGTCTAGTGGTGGAGCATTCACCCGAAGAGCAGAAGGTCGGGGGTTCAATCCCTTGCTTTGTCATACCAAAAGACATAAAAAGATGGTACTTGTTGTTACCCTGCCTGGTGCACCTCACCTCACATCTAACCCTGACTTGTTGTTACCCTGCCTGGCGCACCTCACCTCACCTCACAGCTAACCCTGACTTGCTGTTACCCTGCCTGGCCCACCTTACCTCACATCTAACCCTGACTTGTTGTTACCCTGCCTGGCCCATCTCACCTCACCTCACATCTAACCCTGACTTGTTGTTACCCTGCCTGGCCCATCTCACCTCACCTCACATCTAACCCTGACTTGTTGTTACCATGCCTGGTGCACCTCACCTTACCTCACATCTAACCCTGACTTGTTGTTACCCTGCCTGGCCCACCTCACCTCACATCTAACCCTGACTTGTTGTTACCCTGCCTGGCCCATCTCACCTCACATCTAACCCTGACTTGTTGTTACCCTGCCTGGCGCACCTCACCTCACATCTAACCCTGACTTGTTGTTACCCTGCCTGGTGCACCTCACCTCTATCCCTGACTTGTTGTTACCCTGCCCGGCGCACCTCACCTCACATCTAACCCTGACTTGTTGTTACCCTGCCTGGTGCAACTCACCTCATATCTAACCCTCACTTGTTGTTACCCTGCCTGGCGCACTTCACCTCACCTCACAGCTAACCCTGAACTCCTACGGCCTGACTACGTACTGAGGTGTCCTGACATCCACCACTGCCACGCAGCCATCACTCTGGGACACCAGCATTACATGCTCCGAGTTGAAGTCAAAGTTCATCAGACATGTGTCTCCTTTGTCTGGACAAGAGTACACCTACAACAGGAAAAGTACACTGGACAAGAGTACACCTACAACAAGAACAGTATACTGCACAAGAGTACACCTACAACAGGAACAGTACACTAGACAAGAGTACACCTACTACAGGGACACTACACTGGACAAGAGTACACCTACAACAGGAACAGTATACTGGACAAGAGTACACCTACAACAGGAACAGTATACTGGACAAGAGTACACCTGCAACACGAAGAGTACAAGAGCACACCTACAACAGGAACAGTACACTCTATGTCATCACATGGACATCACCTCAACAAATGTTTAATCATGTATTATGAGTATTACCATTGAAGCCCGAAGTAGCCTCATGATTGGTTTGAGTAAGGAATTTTTTGTGATAAAGTTATTTGTTTGTTTGTTTGTTGTTTTACGCCACACTCAGCAATATTCCAGCTATATTACAGCGGTCTGTAAATAATTGAATCTGGGCCAGACAATCCAGTGATTGACATCATGAGCATCGATCCACGCAATTGGGATACGATGATATGCATCAACCAAATCAGCGAGTCTGACCACGTGATCCCGACTCTTACGACAAGCATAGTTGCCTTTTACGGCAAGACTGTGTTGCTGTGTTAAATTATTACATAAGTCATGACACTGTACTTTTTGTTTTCCAGCCTTTGGGTATTTTTCAATGACCACCTTTACTTTAATGACAAAGTTTGTCCACACACACACTCACCATGCACATACAAGCTTTTTACCAATTAAATTCTAACTACATACCTCATCAAAGACACCCTTCTCAAAGTCCCCACACCTGAGACTGCCATCGTAGCTGCAGGAGTAGGTCTTGAGGGGGGCCCAGGGGGGGAGGTGGAGGCAGTTGACAGGGCGGGCGTGGGGGCAGTATGCCACTACACCATCATGCTTATCTGAATTCATCTGGAAGAAAACAGAGTCATCTGGAAGGAAACAGAGTCATGGAGTCATCTGGAAGAAAACAGAGTCATGGAGTCATCCGGAAGAAAACAGAGTCATGGAGTCATCTGGAAGAAAACAGAGTCATGGGGTCATCTGGAAGAAAACAGAATCATGGAGTCATCTGGAAGAAAACAGTCATGGAGTCATCTGGAAGGAAACAGAGTCATGGAGTCATCTGGAAGGAAACAGAGTCATGGAGTCATCTGGAAGGAAACAGTCATGGAGTCATCTGGAAGGAACCAGAGGCATGGAGTCATCTGGAAGGAAACAGAGTCATGGAGTCATCTGGAAGGAAACAGAGTCATGGGGTCATCTGGAAGGAAACAGATTCATGGAGTCATCTGGAAGGAAACAGAGTCATGGAGTCTCCCAATGATGATCAAAACAAGTTTGGTTTCCATGGCAACCATATGCAAAAAACTACTTTTCGCCATTGCTCCCGAAAACTTTGGAACAAACTCAAAAGTCGTTGCAATACTCACCACGTCCCAGAAGACCACCCACCCCCCACGGCCACCTGCTGCAACCAGCACCTTATTCTCGGTTGGGTGTATCGCAATCGAGTAGAGTAGGTCCTTCACAACCTTTGCAACTCTGTCCTTAGTCAGACGAATCTTGGAGAAATCTTTCAGGAAACTAAAACGATAAATATGAGAATGTTTTATAAAACATTTGGTTTCAGACATCCTACAGCCCTTGTCACCCCTGCTCTTATACCAGTGAATGTAAATGAAAAATATTCTCAATAAGTTGACAGTACGAGAAAAAGTCAATGACTCCAATATTTGTTTTTTTTCGTTTGTTTGTTGCTCAACGCCGAAATCAGCAATAATCCGGCTATATGACTGTGGTCTCTAAATAATTGAGTCTGGACCAGACAATCCAGTTATTGATATCATGAGTAGTGATCCATGCAATTGGGATACGATGACATGCATCAACCATGTCTGCGAGTCTGACCACCCGATCCTGTTAGTTGCCTCTTACGGCAAGCATGGGTTGCTGAAGATCAACCCTAACCCGGATGTTCACGGGTTCCACTACAATGACACATTCAGTTCACTGATAACATTGAAAGCACTCAATATCCATAATTGCCATGCTTACAACCAGAAGAGGGGTAACGACATGATACATATCTAGATACTATGGGTGAGATACAATTCATATCCCAATACAGCACTGTTGATATTCTTTCTTTCAGCAGGTGAATCACAACCCTGAATCATGAGTTTCAAATTTCAGAGACCAAGATGGGATATTGTAGGGCAGAAGCATACAGGTTAGAGGGCACTGTGAATGTTATGCTGTTTATAGCCAAATGGGAAATACCAGAGAATCTGCATAAGGTGGCTGTTGAACAGTTTCTGTTCGTATTTATGTGTTTTAACTGTTGTGTAATATAACTTATAATGTAATGTATCATATGCGATACAGGGTTTGTAGTGTGTCAGAGTGCGTCTCTTAAAGTGTGATCAACCAATCAGAGTGCGTCTCTTAAAGTGTGATCAACCAATCAGAGTGCGTCTCTTAAAGTGTGATCAACCAAGCAGAGTGTGTCTCTTAAAGTGTGATCAACCAATCAGAGTGCGTCTCTTAAAGTGTGATCAACCAATCAGAGTGCGTCTCTTAAAGTGTGATCAAAAGGAAGTAAACAGTACACGGCTGTCAATTGGACTGGTGATACTTGCAATATTTACACTCTTTCAAAGCAATATTTAGTACTTGTTACGATTATTTTATGTAAATTTACTTAAGGTCTGCTGAAGATTTGCTAAATTTTAATGTGGTCTGAAGAAAGCTGTAGCTGATTTTTTTTGTCACGCAACAAGTCCGGAAAGTCGGGAATTGAATTTCCACAAACTGGTTTTGCCAAGGAATCCCCAGATGGTTTCTTTGGACAACTTATTGTCCTAACAATGTTATAAATTTGGTGAAACATGTCCAACAAGGCTTTGAACAGTTTTGTTGTAGTTGACCAACAAACACACCAAATGTTTAAAATCAGTGAGTGAGTGAGTTGGGTTTAACGTCGCTTTTAACAGTATTCCAGGTATATCATGGCATGTCAGCTTTATGTGGGAGGAAAGCCCGAAGTGATGTAGGTTTAAAATGAAAGTGCCCTTGATACAATATGTTTCCTACTGTAGTGCTTCAATCGAGGGTTCAAATTAACCTTCCATGTTTAACATTAGCCTCAATACATGGACACCTTGACTTTTTTCTAAAATTTAAACAAGGGACCGATCATTTTCAGCTTCATTTGCAAATCATGAGCCAAAGTATTTTTTAAAAAACACCATGCAGCATTTGCAACAACACATTTCTTGTGGCAGACAATCTAATTTTTTTCCAACAGCCTGAAGCATAATTACTGTTTATCAGGCAATTTCTTGCCTTCATATTAAATGGTTGTTCCATATTGAATAAATACTCTGTTATGATGTGGTAATAATACATATTACTACAGTTTAGCTCGGACCGCATTTACCCTTAACACCTGTTTGGTCGTATTGTGTTATAGGATTTAATTCTCAAACATACCCTTTCAGGTCTCTTGAGATAGGCTTAATGGCCGTGGTCTTGCTGCAAGATTTCATTACAGATGCAGAGAAGTCCTTGTGAGCATCCTCCTCCAGTTGTTCATACAGGCTCTCCACCATCCCTAGGGGCCCAGGAGGGGGGCGGGGCTGGACACGGGGGAGAGTGTTAAGTAAACAATGGTACTGAGTCATTAACAAAACAAAAAAAAAGAAATGAGCAATATTTCCATCCATATGAGTGAGGTGCTTCTAAAAGTCATTCAAGTAGTGTGGTCTGCCGTCGGTGACTGAGTAAGGAGAGAGTGAGGTGAGTGACTGAGTGAGGAGATTGAGTGAGTGAGGAGAATGTGAGTGAGTGAGGAGAGAGTGAGTGAGGAGAATGTGAGTGAGTGAGGAGAGAGTGAGTGAGGAGAGTGAGTGAGTGAGGTAAGTGACAGAGTAAGGAGTGAGTGAGTGAGGAGATTGAGTGAGGAGAGAGTGAGTGAGTGAGGAGAGTGACAGTGAGGTGAGTGAGTGAGTAAGGAGAGAGTGAGGTGAGTGACTTAGGAGATTGAGTGAGTGAGGAGAGAGTGACTGAGTGAGGTGAGTGACTGAGTGAGGAGGTGAGTGAGTGAGTGAGGAGATTGAGTGAGTGAGGAGAGAGTGAGTGAGGAGAGAGTGAGTCAGTAAGTAGAGTCAGTGAGTAAGGAGAGTGAGTGAGTGAGGTGAGTGAGTAAGGAGAGTGAGTGAGGAGAGTGAGTGAGGAGAGTGAGTGAGTGAGGAGAATGTGAGTGAGTGAGGAGAGAGTGAGTGAGGAGAATGTGAGTGAGTGAGGAGAGAGTGAGTGAGGAGAGTGAGTGAGTGAGGTAAGTGACAGAGTAAGGAGTGAGTGAGTGAGGAGATTGAGTGAGGAGAGAGTGAGTGAGTGAGGAGAGTGACAGTGAGGTGAGTGAGTGAGTAAGGAGAGAGTGAGGTGAGTGACTTAGGAGATTGAGTGAGTGAGGAGAGAGTGACTGAGTGAGGTGAGTGAGGAGGTGAGTGAGTGAGTGAGGAGATTGAGTGAGTGAGGAGAGAGTGAGTGAGGAGAGAGTGAGTCAGTAAGTAGAGTCAGTGAGTAAGGAGAGTGAGTGAGTGAGGTGAGTGAGTAAGGAGAGTGAGTGAGGAGAGTGAGTGAGTGAGGAGAGTGAGTGAGTAAGGAGAGTGAGTAAGGAGAGTGAGTGAGGAGAGTGAGTGAGTAAGGAGAATGAGGAGAGTGAGTGAGTGAGTAAGGAGAGTGAGTGAGGAGAGTGAGTGAGTAAGGAGAGAGAGTGAGGAGAGTGAGTGAGTAAGGAGAGTGAGTGAGGAGAGTGAGTGAGTGAGGAGAGTGAGTGAGTAAGGAGAGTGAGTTAGGAGAGTGAGTGAGTGAGGAGAGTGAGTGGGGAGAGTGAGTGAGTTTATCTCGGAAGTGTCCAAGTAAGAACCTGTTCTGTTTCGTCAATAAATCAGGAAGGGAAATCTATCAATATTCTAACAATTGGTGAGGACTACATTAACGCATGCCATGGATCTAAGAAAGTAGGTTTCATTCAACAGATTCAAAGTTGTAAGATTTCGGGAAAAACAGGATATTTTGTCAATGTAATATGTAATATGGACTATCTTCATTTCTCAAGAGTTAAACAGCCAATCAGAATTCATAGCCAAGCCAAAGGATTTTCAAACAACTAGCATGTGCTGGTATCTCCTTGTTTTTGAGTTATGTGATCTGGATTCTGCTAATCCAAACACCCTCCTTTCTGTACAATTATGTATGGGACATAATCATCCCCAGGATAAACCCAAAGCATAGTAATGGTCTCTGTTGGGGGCACTTATGGAAAAATATGAAAATAATAAAGGTCAGTGTCTATGGTGTCACCATTGTCTATCAGTGATCGAGTTAGAATTAACAATCAGGGACCTGGACAAATGACGAGGATAATGTCATTATTGTATATACCGTATTCGACGTAATAAGCGCCCCGGGCGCTCTCAAAATTAGAATAAAGGGGCTCTTATTAGAATATTATTTTGGTGGAAAAAACAGAGTTGAAAGATAAATTTCGTGGTTTATGCTGACAGCCTGAAATGTTTATGTACAACAGATATATTTTTCCAGAATTGAATTCCCCATAATTAACGGTGCATATAACACACGAGTGCATTAACTCTTTCATCACTGGCTGCCCCAGAGTTATGTCCCTTGAGACCCTGCAGTCCCTGACACTGACAAGGCCTGTACACTGGCCTCCCTGGCAGTATTATTGGAAAATCACACTATCATTTTTGATGCACTTTTTCTACCAGAAACTTGCTTTTAATATACATTTATCATATACCATTGTAAAGAGGATTAAGTATACTTTAATATTCTTTGTTGTTATTGTCTCTAACCTTTGTTATTTTCTAATTACAGGTGTTTACAAGTGAAATAAAACTTGAAAACACTGAAAAAATGAAAACAGACAATGAATTTTGGCTCAAATTGTATTACAAATCACAAAAATCACAGATACAAGGTAAACATAACACAGTGGTCTTGTCATCTTGGACGGCACAGGTAATCCCAGGTGTTACAGGTAAATTCTCTTCATGCACATCTGTAAACCAATAAACAAGTTTACAACTCTTGGTACTGACTTTGTTTTCTATACTGATGTCACATATTACTTATGATACACTTACAGCCTCTTAGGTAAACTCGTTAACACAGGTAAACTTGTTAACGCAGGTAAACTCGTTAACGCAGGTAAACTCGTTAACACAGGTAAAAACACAAATATTTGATTTATTTTGTTCTTTTTCAGGATTTGAAACAAAAATTAAGTATTTAAGTTTTTAAAAAGTTATTTATCACATTATCTGAACATTGAACCACAGCTACTATAAGAATGACATCACAGGGAAGATAACACAGATTGATCTGAAGAGGGAAACATTGTAAAAGGACGGAAAGATCGTAAATTCAAGTTCTGCAAATATACAAGTTGTGATAACATATTTACAATACACTGCTATTTACAATTGCATAATAAATTAAATCAGTACTTTATTAAATCAATTAATAAATAAATAATCATTACAGTTACTAAAATTTAAATTAAGATGTAAAAAACAAGAAAACAAACATGAATATGGAAATAAATTTTATTCAAATTGAGCGAAATATAAGGACATACGACAAACCGGCAAACTACAATTCGGATTGCGATCAGAAAAATAAATTTTAAAAAAACAAAACAGATACGTCATGCCACTCACCTTTGTTGTTGTTGTGATCGCTCGTTCACGTGTAGGCTGCATTCTCATTCGTCGCACTGATAATCTGTTCAAACACAGAATCATTGTAAAACAGTTGGAAAAAATCAATAGCACGACTCTTCACTCACCGTGTCAATATATATTCTTGAATCCGGTCGCCTCTTCAAAATCCCTCATGTCTCCACTGTCGTGTGTCCATCTGCCACTCCCATTCTCGAAAGTTGGCGGGGGGGGGGGGACACCTCGTCGAAACCGTCAAAATCTTCACGAAAATATTCGCGAAATTCCCTCTCCCCTTCGCGTAAATTATTCAATTCAAACACATTTTATTCCCGATATAGTCGTTGTTAATCATCTGATCGCTATCCGAATCGTAGTTGGCCGCCATTACGCTTGATTTACGATTCAAGCGAGAAAAATACCTGTCGCGAAAACAGGTGACATACCCGCGATTTTTGCGCCAAAAAGACGGGGAAATTCCATCGAATGACGTGTCAATACGTGTTGATCTCGTTTCCATATTTAGAACGAGATTACACATGAGAAAGGAAGTAGAAAGAGCGATTTTGTAAACACGCTCGCGCCGCCCGATTTATCGGGCAGCCGGGTTCTGGGCCTCGGCTTATGCTGCCCGATTTTTCGGGCAGCCGGGTCCTGGGACACGGTTTATCCTGCCCGATAAATCGGGCAGTCGGGGCGAAAGGGTTAATATGTCTTGTGTACATTGGTCAATCAGAAGGGGTGCTAATTGGGATTGTTCACTAGCCAATATATAACCAAATATCGCCGCAGGCGCTTATTACGTTGAATACGGTAATTGTCTAAGATTCTGAAATCCATGTCTAAAAGGGGTGTAGCTGAGACCTTTCACAGGTGAAGACAACTTTGGAGATATCAATTGGGAAGGTATTGGGGACATCAATTCCCATACCTGTGCTTGAAGACCTCTGCATCTTGGGGTCTTTTCCAGAATTAAAAACAGTTGGATTTGGCCGAAATACGTCCTGTTCACATGTTGCTGTTGTCTGGGATATCGGACTGCATTTCGTAATCCTGTTACGAAATGGCCCGCCAGACACGAAACAAATATGTGATGTCTTAAAAACTAGACTAGCTTACCTTCGATTAATACAACGTTTATTCCCAATATAGGATATTTACCTTACAAAAATTCTTGCGTTATAATATAGACGGAACAGGGATATCCCTCATTACCTGGAATGGTGCTGGTTTAGCAAGGTTTTACTGTGTAGTGTGATTTCTTGTATGTAATTATTATCAATGTCAGAATGCAGTGTTTCATAGTTAACCACTGACCATCTCCATAGTTAGTGGTAGAGCATCTGCCCAGAGTGTATTTGGGGAATAGAACCTGGGTTTTCAGAGTGATGGGCCAACGCTTGTACTCCTAGGCTACCCTACCCTGACACTGTACTGACAATCTTACATGTACCTTTGGCGGTTTTGGCAGCAGTTTTGGCGGCGTATAGCAGAGTTCTGGTGCCGCCACTTTCTGTATACGCAGACTCTGCCTCTGTGGTGGGGCTCCCTGGACTCTCAGCTTCCTGCAACAATTAGCTGTCAGGTACATCCCCGGTACATGCATCCCCGGTACATACATCCCCCTGTACATACATCCCCCGGTACATCCCCGGTACGTCCCCAGGTACATCCCCAGGTACATCCACAGATACATCCCCAGGTACATCCCCGGTACATACATCCCCAGGTACATACATCCCCTGGTACATACAACCCCCGGTACATGCATCCCCCGGTACATGCATCCCCCGGTACATACATCCCTGGTACATGCATCCCCCGGTACAAACATCCCCGGGACATACATCCCCAGGTACATACATCCCAGGTACATACATCCCCGGTACAAACATCCCCGGGACATACATCCCCAGGTACATACATCCCAGGTACATCCCCAGATACAACCCCGGCTACATCCCCAGGTAAATCCCGAGTACACCCCCAGGTACATCCCC